CTTTAAAATTATACTTTAGTTAAAGATATTTTCTAAACAACATTACAATAAACGGAGTTCCACAGGTTTCAATTAAGCAAACAGAAAAAAAGAAAGAAAAATCACTCTAAATATTGTGTAATGTAAACGTTTAGAATATCGTTGTCATAATATTATATGTACAACATGCTGTAGTTTTTGGTGTAAATCTTTCAAAACTATTGTTGACTTATTGATAAAACTATATATATGTATACATTACATATGTAAAATAGCTGACCGGCGACCTTGAACTTGCAGGATGAACTCGTTGTATACGTACAGATACAATACACACACCGTAACATTGTAGGTAGGACGTTTTAATGGCTTTATTTCACGTTCTGTCTGTGTTTCTTCTTTTTATGTATAATCGCTGTTTAACAGCTTGGACGCAGACATACATTTTCCTTACCCATTCGAAAAGGAAACGTCACTTGCACGTTATTAAATTTAGATGTCACTTATTGCGAAGCTAAATGATGTACCGATTTGAATTGTAGATCGTGTTGATTTTAAGGGGTTGGACATGTGCTAATTCTGATGGGCGATTAGTTCTAATTAACATTAGTCATACAAATAACAAAGAGACACAGTGACCGATATAACTGGTTTAAATCGGTGATATCAGTAATTTGAACACGACTTCTGAATACGACGTTTCCGGCAATATGGCCGTTGTTTCCAGTTTACCGACACTTTTTTTCCGAATTTCTACGACGTGCAGTAGAACCAACTGTGCGCCCTTAACTGTAAACATATCTATACAACATTAAAACATAGATTGTCATAAGGGTTTTCAGCTTGTTGGTGAAACAATTCATTGATGCCTGTGTGCAAAATGCAAATAGTGAGAACCTAGTCAATTATCATTGGCAGTAGACTGCTGGTACACCACAAACAACCCTGATTATATTGATTTAGTGATATACAATGTAAGAAGAACCTTACCATACTTAATCTTCTTACCTGTGTAGACAAAATGCTTTCTACCATAGGATAGCAAACGTCACGGTCATCTTTGGTGCATGCACCACTACAAATGCTTGTTATCGTTTAGATATTGTATTGCCGAGTATTCTTTGTATACACCGACATATTTCTCCATTTCAGTCGTGTTTGGCAAAATCTAATATCTTTTCTGTTTTTTGTTAATTGCAGGTACGAACGATGATATACCTGTCACTTCAAGTTCAATAAGGCGGCGTGTCCAATCAGCCTCGGCTACTTCCGGAAATAACCGGATGTTGCACCGAAGACGAGGCCGAACGCGGCCACTGGGTCTTGTTATGCTGGACAGCCGTTTGGAGACACAGGTAGAAAAAGCTGCATTTCAAACTAATCTTCGTATACTCACACAAATGGTCGGACAGCAGAAAAACAAAGTTTTCGCTCGCCCAAATACACCTGTTCACGAGGATGCAACACAGTATTCGTTTCAAAGCAAAAACTACCAGATTATTAACAATGCAACAAATTCCTGTTATCATAACCGGATACGTGATCGGGTCGTAAGCGCTGGAGGTGAGCGACGAGTTTGTCTCAGTTCCGGCCCGGTATGTTCCAGACAATTAAACAACGGTGGTGACGTAAACAAATGTCAACAAACGTCACACTGTGAGGTGCTTGGATCATACTTTTGTACAGACTGTACACAAATTCGTAAAAGAAGCAAGAGTGCGCAACAACAAAATAAAAACTTTCCAAACATCGAAGTTCATCCAAGGTCATTGGTAGCTCCGGAGAAACTCGAAAAATTGTTAATAAAAATCCCGCAAATGACAACGACGACTGTCTCGGAAAAAAGGCGACCCAGTGTGGACAACGGGAGTCATGTTGTATTTACGGGAAATGATATATATTCCAGGCTCCGCGAGACACACAAACTGTATGGGAGACGTGTATTTGGTCAGAAAGTGAAAACTGTACCAAAATCTGCTGGTTTGTTACCTCGGAACCTGTTCGACGAGCAACGAAACAGGCGAAGGTCATTTACGTTAGCTCCACAGAAGACACTACTAGCCGTTCCCAAAGCTAACACGCACATGATTCGATTTGATATTCCCAGTTCACGATGATCTAAGAGCTGAAATTATGTATACCAAAGTATAATCATTTTGATTAATTCTTCATCCGTCTTTGGTCGGTTCTGCAACAATATCGGATGTTTGTATTTGTCATGAAACAAAAAACCCAACCCAATAAGCATCAGGTTCAAACTGAATTTTAATGGGCGTCAAATGGATTGGCGTGAATTAGAGTGATTCTAACCAAAGACATAACAAATAAAACTCTGTCCTGAATATTTTCCCGTAGAAAATGTTTGCATATGCTTAGTTCACATAAATAATTATTTTGTACGGAATATTGAGATTGGTCGGATAAAGACGTCACTTCCGGTACAATTCTTTGCCGTGGATATAAACTCATTTTTCACGGTAAAAGCAATATGGGGTACAATTTTATATACTACAATGTAATATGTCCCATTCAGGCAATGACGTCATCAGGATTCTGCTGACGGAAACTGACATCATGATTTAACCGAAGTGAATGTAAGCTATGTATCTATACAGAGATGAATGGTAATAAGGTTTAAGTATTAGTAGTGAATCCTTATTGAGTGTACTTATTTATTGTAACAGCTGGTATATTGTTTGATATGTGTAGTTTATTTGTAGTTTTGGAATAACTGCATACTGTACTTTATGTTTACTTTGATGAATAAAGGAACATGCACAACAGTGGTTTCCTTATTTTCATTTCGTAAATATTAAAATGTATATATGTAAATAAATAAATTACATATGCCATTACTGAATGAAGATAACATCGAAGTCGACCTAGGAAAGTGTGTTGTGTATGATGTTGTGTATAACAAAGGAGTGCATTTTAATCAGATTTGTGTTCGAAATAACAAAAGGTTTTGACAATGAAACAGAAAATTATACCCTATAGGTTAAGATTGTGAAATGTCTAAAACGAAGTTTTACAAACGACTGGAATTTCACGTACAAATATCTTACTCCGACAGATCAAGTTTTTGGTAGACGATGCCAGGTCATATCTTACACAAATTGTGGGCCTGAAAATATTGTGTGATATCCACCAGATTGTGGACATGACATTGTGATGTCGGTTCATAACTAATAGGATTGAGTAGCATACATAATTGGTCTGACGTTATGCTGATGTCAGGACATTAAAAGAAACACAGATTGTGGGATGCTGACATTCTACTGATACCGGGTGGTATCCGTCTATCCGACATAGACTGTGGGACATTGTACTGATGTTGGTTCATTCTGGGTCTGACATTCTACTGATACCGGGTGGTATCCGTCGAGACATAACACAGTATGATGTTGGTTCATTCTGGGTCTGACATTCTGCTGATGTTGGTTCATTCTGGGTCTGACATTGTACTGATGTTGGTTCATTCTGGGTCTGACATTCTGCTGATGTTGGTTCATTCTGGGTCTGACATTGTACTGATGTTGGTTCATTCTGGGTCTGACATTCTACTGATACCGGGTGGTATCCGTCTATCCGACATAGACTGTGGGACATTGTACTTTTGTTGGTTCATTCTGGGTCTAACATTATACTGATGTCCGATTATTTGAGACACAGATTGTTGTGCTAACATTATGCTAGTGTCGGATCAATATTCAGCACATATTCAGAAAAGATAGACGTTTCAAAGGTGGAACCCTTGGATTTTGCCAGTATACCGACTTTTTGTCTTTTCGTAATCGTAGAAGTCGAGTTTAATGGCGTTTGAACATTACGCCCAAATTTTTACGAAGGGAAGCAACTCCAATTCGATTGTAACAAAATATTCGCATGTGTACATGCATACACCATCAAGTCTATTTTAGTTTTCGATTCATGTAAAAATAAAATGCTTTCCTGGAATAGTGTTATACATAAAACTGCAGCTTTTGTTTTGCTTTCGTGTGGGTCTTATGTAAATGCTATCCGAGAGACGTTGAACACCGTTATCGTTTGGTTGTGGCAAACAGGTGGAACAGCTGATATGACAACCTATTGTTTGTCAACATGTAGACCAAACAATACCGTGACATCCATCAAAGGAATTACGTTATTAACTGTATCTCATCATTGAAAACTAAGTATTTCCATGGATAATTAATATTTTCGTCTCATTTAAATTCGACTGAATGATAATATGTATATATATATTTGAACTCCAGATAAATTAATAAATTGTATTGTACAGTCAGAAATTAATTTATTTATGAATAGATAAACCAAAAGAGCAAATAACAAACAGTAGTATAGATAAATAAACGAGTCATGCTCTCGTAATGCAGACAGACATATATTCTTATCTCCGCACACATGTTTATCTGTAGAGGCATGAGACCACTGACAAATGTCGGAGTGAAAAAAAAAACAGAAAAAATGGGCATCATGAAGAAGTCAAGGCACGTAAACAACCTTCAGAGAGGCACCAACAGGGTAAAATACCAAAAGGACATCACAAATTATAATCGATATCTTAATGATAACAGACATCTCATTGATTTTTTTGATAGAATACAGAATTTCAGATGTAACAAAAATTACTTTGTATGTTAAGATAAACATGTTATTAATCCATTGTACTAAAGATCTGTTTTAAAATTTAAGAATCATTTCCTAATATTTTAATCAATATTAAAGAAAAAAAATGAAGAAAATCTTAATTTAAAAAAACTATCAATATTTAGACCTGTTTGTAAACAGTACATGTATATATAATAAACATTTATAGGCATATATCAAAATGATATATGTTTACACCTTGTTCACTTAGAAATACGCCTCAGGCGAAATGACTTGTCTGGCCTTTAGCATGCGGTTAATCTAAAGCATTGCATTTTCCAGTAACAGACAGCATATCGCATTTGTAGACTATACGGAGCAATTTGACAGCGATATACATATACGGCTAAATATTGGAATATATTGAAGACATGCTGAGATTGATATTTGTGTCGATGGTTCTTGAAGGGGTATGGGGAGCCACAGTACCGCCGCCTACACCAACTTTATCCCTAAGGAGGCAGTTAGATCCGGCAAACCTGGACAGTAAGTACATTTTTGGCGTGTCACAATTTGATTCTTATGCTTATCGAAAGTTTTCGGGATACCATGTAATTGCTGTATTCTCTTCCGTCCGTCTTTCCGTTTGTACTTTTCATGTACAGATCACAACTTTGCTCACAGATGAATGAGGATTGTGTAATTAGATGTGCAGATCATTTACAATAAAAGCTGTAAAAGTCAAGGCCCACAATCCCTTAATTACAGAGTTAATGCCCTTTGTTTTAATATAATGTCCGGAGCATACCTTTGCCTGCATTTATATTAGGATAATTAAACCTTGTGTATGCATTGGTCTTACTCAGACGATGTAGAGTTTACTAAAGTTGAGACCCACAACTCCTTCATTACAGAGTTACTGTCCTTTGGTAAAATTACATGTCTGAAGCATATCTGCATTTTGAATTAATGCCGATGAAACACACAACTTATGAAAGTGCAATTTAGGTACATTGTTCGAAAACAATTTCAAAGTCTCGATTGTCCCCTACAAAATTTGTTACACGAAAAGATTAATAAAAACACATACTTGTAACAAAAAGTAATTATACATGTAGCTGACATGTGGCAGTGAAATATACCATTACTTTATTAGATCAAGCATAGGTAAGTGTCAGACATAAATGAATTTATGTTACATGTTGAACATCATTATTTCCTCGTCTAAACTCGCCGTTTAAGATGTTTTACAGATATGTGTCATTTACAAAATCAAAAACAAATTTTACAAAAACAATGAAAACATTGTAATCTGGAACCATTCATTAGTTCTAAATATACTTCTGTTGTTCTTGTTTGTTTTGGAAGGTGAACATAAATATATCAATTATTGATGTGTCAGTACTTCGTTTTGCATATACATTTGTTTAAGCTTTAAACAGACAAGTTCGGAAGGCTTTGCTAGCCAAAGTGACCAGTGAACTGGAGTCCAGTAAGACGTTCATGGCGAATCTGCAGCCACAGCTGACCGTTTGTCAGACCAAGGTGAACGACTCGCTAGGCCATTGCCTCCAGTGTGTTGACAACGCCTGTCAAGAGAAGTGAGTCCATGTACCGGATGTAGAACAATGAAAAATGCACGTGTCAACCTGTCAGAAATCCCGGATTAATGTTGCCCGTCATCGCTTTTTATTTTGCAAATTTTTATTTCGGAAAATGTGTTTACTGTTGTCCATTAACGAAGTAATTTTTAATTTCTTTTCCACTGTCTTCACTCCTAACAAAATGATATATCGCATGAAGTAAAAAGTTGGTATAGGATGTTTCAATAACTTGTATCAAAGGTACCCTCACACCGTAAAAATGATTCAAGGGAAACATATTGTTGTCTTCTGTCACAGTTTTAAACGTTTGTATGATAAAAGTTAGAGAGTCCATCAAACAAGACACCAAATAGTCATACTTCAATACTGATTGTGCTATATAGACATTTATATATATATAATGATTATATAAACATGCTATATGGAAGCTGGATTGGATGTCAGAATACATCTTCTTTTTCATAATGACAAATTCCTATTCGACTTCCGTATATAATAGGTCTCCTGATAGCACCCGGTGACTACTTCACTGAACGACATACAGGAGACCCATCACATACTGTCCACAGAATGAGGATAGGTTTTCTTCCCCAACATATCATTACAGACTGTCAGTTTCTCAGCTTCCCGAGAAACACAAACTGCAAAGGTAACAAAGCGTCGAATCAGGCACCTGAGAACTTTACCTGAGGTTACGATGGCCAACGCTCTACCTGCTTAGGGTACCAGGGTCCTTAGGTTTCAAGATATTACGGGACATCATATACTCATATTATATAAAGAATATTGCTTTATGTCTACTTCAATGTGTTTTATAGGTTCAAACAGTGCCAGTCATTAACGTTTAACATGCACTCTCCTGGTGGAATGTCAGTGTCAAGCAACAGCATAAACGGACAAAGTCAGGTGACCGTCTGCGCCTTGACCGGAAGTCAGTTTACACGCACGTGCTCGACGATCATGAACCCTGAAGGTTTCATGGTCAATTCTATATCTCAAATCGGTAACGACCTCCGAATAAACCTTGGGCGGGTGTACGGTGATCTCGGAAACACTGTTGTTGGGAACTTCGTTGGAGGCCTGACGAACGTTGCCAACAACGTTGTCCGAAATATGACGAATGCGGAAAAAGCACAACTGCAACAGACTATGTCACATCTGAGTCAGTCCCTTTCTACCATGGGGCATCATATCGGCCAGAGCGTGCAACAATCCATGGGCCAAATGCACCAGCAATTGAGTAACTTTGGGAGTTCGATGGCACAATGGGGACAAAACTTTGGCCAACAACTCTCACAGTCTCTTTCACACATGTTTGGTAAGTTGACATCTACCTTCAATTGACCAATGGTCATGTACAACGCAGGTCATTTATTGCCTTATCGATTAAAAAGTCATTGAGACGAGTTTTTTTTTCTTTCTTTCCTTTTCTCTCGGTAGCTATGATCGCTAATGCGCTGATCTACAGTTAACTTTCCCGTAAAACAGATGATGTTGTTGGGTTTCCTGTAGGCTTTCATCCAACATCCAAAACATCGATCGTTTTGAAGAGCTCATGTTGATTATTGAACTCAGAAACAACGCGATATATAGGTTTTATCTCATCAGAAAATTTGGTCCACCGTGCTTTTTCATGTTATATCAGTCCACCTGACTTTCATGATGACTATAAATGCCTCTTAAGATCAGTTTTAATGCTTGATTAGACGTTTTAAGGTATTTTAGCATTTCAAGAAATTCAAATGGTTTTTAAAAAGTGAATATATTCTTTTTTGTGTATCCTATATGTTATTGTGCAATAATTATAAATGTAATGATTTATTTCAAATATTGGCATTAACATATAACAATGTTAGTTTGTTTGATAAGTATGAAAGCCAATAGATTGTCCTACGCTTCAAAAACGGATATGTTACCGATTTGTCCAGTAGACATTCACAGCTGTTATGAATGCCATTGTTAATTTTGTTAAATGGTAGATATATATAAAATTGTGATTATGATGTTGTAAATACATACAGATGGGACGTTGTTGGGGAAGAGACGGAGAAGGGCAGCTCAGGAATGCACCTTCCTGTTTGGTGATCTATATCAGAACTGTGCAAGTCTGACGTCACAGTGCTCATCGTGTCCTAGCAACCGACAGGACACCATGGAAGCAGGTTAAGTACCCAGTTAAAAACTTACATGTATTTATATATATATATTCAATGTCGCCCTTTCAGGATAAAGGAACGGTAAAATGATTATTAAGATGTAAAGTTCTTCTGGGCTGAACGACTGAAAGGACGAAAATTAAGGACGAACAATGAAATGGCTCGAATCAGGCAATGCAGCATATTGGTATGCTAGTTTGGTATATTTGTTTATTGTTGAATGAACATATTCTTAGCCATTCTTTTATAAAACTGTGGCAGACTGATTGACATAGAGGAAGGGGAGTAACTCTGTCTTGGCTACTATCTCAGCTATATTCAATACCTAGATTTCCTTATAATCTTACTCGCTCACCCCATTTTAATTGAACAAAATTGCAGTTTGTGGGAAGGATCTCGTGGATAAGGTCCAGGCCGTAGAGAAATCCATGGACGAAATGAGCCAGATCTACGAGGAAGTCATTAACGCAAAAAACATCATCACCATGGTAACGATAAAAATAAAAAAAAAAAAAAAACATACATTTTTCATTCTACCTTATACAAATATAACTGGGGTCACCAAAAAGATTTTATTTGAAAATAAGTAAATGATTTTTATTAATCAAATCTCAAATGTTTCTGGAATTTTCCTTGAATGACGGCGAAATGTTTGGTGAAGATTAGTTGGATATTTTGTGCAATTATCCTAGTTAGAAACAAGAAGAACACAGTTCAGATTTCTCAGTTCTTGCCGTATTTTCTTTTTCTGTCTTTGTTTCAAAAATTAAGATGTGCCAGCATTAGAACATCTGTAAAGAATCTTATATAAACTTAAACTTAGTTGCGTTATGTGGGAAATGGGAATCTGTATTTAAGTTTCTGAACTATTTACTACATGTAAATATATGTCACTAAATAGGCTATTTATATTTTAACACATTTTATAAATAATTGTACATATGTATTTTGTTTTTTCCCATAGGTTGAATTCGATAACACTGTGATTGATCCAACAATGGCGTCTTACGGTAACGTAAAAATAATTGCAAACATCAGAGGGGTTCCGACTGTGTTTCCGATGAGTTCCGTCCTAAAGCTGCACGATCTAGCAGCTTCCGGTACTCCCATTGCGCAACAAGTCTGGAAGGAATGGGCTGTTCGAATGACAACACCATGATTTCATAAAGCGGAAGCACAAACAGTCTAATTCTATGTCCCTAGTTCTTGTTACTTTACTTTTCCATGATTCATCGTCAAAATTCGAAGTTTGTCTTGATAAAGATATTCAACCTGTCTCTGAAAGACTGCTTGTTTCAATTAAAACCTTTCTGGTCTGTATATATATATATAGGTCTTCTTTTATGGGCGTCTATATTTAAAATGGACATTTATTGTGACAAACCTCTCCGTGCAATTTGATTTTTTCTAAATTAAACTGCATCTTTAAAATAATGTAACTGTCAATTATGAAACTGGAAAAAACAAAAACAAAAAAAAAAAAAAAAAAAAAACCCTGAAAATATGTCTCTATCAATACACAAAAGAATATATTGAAAAAATCTTTTTGATCAACTTACAGAAATAGTATGTTGTACAGTTCTCACATTTCATATCTTGTTCATTATTTTTTTAAACAACATTAAAAATAAAGTTCCATGTAAAGTCATCTTTGGTTGATTGTAATAAATTTCACCGTCGAAAAACGCGACGTCCAAAGATATCAAGCAGGCTGTTATTTGGCAATCTTGCATGTTTGTGACCTTTCGATTTACTTATTTTAATCGTCTTTACATGTATATACATTTTCTGTGCTACTTATCAAGATTTCAGTCCTGCAAACGTTGGAAAGACTTTTTGGTTTTGTTAATACATGAATACTAAGGTACAGTTAGATGAGGTACCATAGTGATTCAAATATAGCATTTATACTTTATTTAAAGATCCAAATTCGTTCACAGTCGAATGGCTAAAGATTTCCTGTTTTATTCAATGACCGAGAAGGGTTGAAAATATTCATAAATAATCCACAGATTTGCAGTTATAAGGTCAAGACTTGTGTTTTCCCTTTGACTTGTCAGTATAAAAACATTCACGGACATCTTGTGATCTAATAGATAGATAATAAATTATAAACATTAAGTAATTCAATGTTTACTTCATATATCGTAATGATATTATAAAACACAGACACAATGTTTATGTATTAAGATATATCTTTAATAAATGTATTGTTTATAGTGTTGCCACATTCATTTCATAATTGTTCCAACTTCAACCAAATATCTTTAGATAAGACGAATCGTAGTTGATACCAGCGATTGATTCCTTCGAAATCTAAAACATATAAGAATAATGATTATGATTTTTGGTTGACTTGACAACAACACGAAGACCATGTCTATGTGTTGAAACAGTGAATACAGATCTGTCGCTATCACAATATAGAAAGTAATCAGCAAAGCAGAAAAAGATTATACTACACAATGTATAATATGCGATAACACACTAAGGATGGATTATTGTGAAATTGTTGGTTCGTAGAAATTACATTAAAAGGCACTTACATTCATATATATATGTTAGATTCAAAATGTTAAAAAAAACTACAAATCTGCAATATTTGAAGTGCAAAACCTCATAACTTTGGAAGACACGTACGGTTGCCCTTTTCGTACATTACTCCAGGAATACTGGTTCGTTTAAAACTGAGTGTGGTTGTAGCAATTTTTATGGGAGTATATTAAGTATTCTTTACAAACCTCTCCTTGCTATCCTAGATTCTTAGTTCTCCCATTCACCGCCAGTGACATAATCAACTCTCCAAATTTCTTATAATCATCCAGACAGTTGTAGATATGGACTGACAGACGAACGTACAGATGGCTGTTAACGGACTTCAGACAGACGTCTATATGGTGGTCATTATACATTTGGTCCATCAGTAAATTAGCATCTTCCTAATTACAAAATTAAAGTACTCCATCAAAACACAATTGAATACATCGGTATTACACATAGCAAAATCAATTTTCGTTTCCGTGAAAAATTCATGTTCATAGAATTGAAATCAAATTAAATATTTTAAACTAACTTTGTTTCGTAAAATACTGTTTACTTTATACAATTAACAGATGTGTTTATCAGCATCGACTAGTGAATACTTTAACACATGATAACAACAATGAAACATTAAAAAGCCAATGAGCTTGCATTTGATATTCAAGACTTACTAAACACATTAAGCATATTAACGAAAGCCCTAAGTGATAACGTATAGTAATATAAATGCATCATTATATACCTGCGAGGTCCCGAAGTTATCGATTTTTGGGAGACGTATCATTCTGAGAAATGGCGGCTCCATGGAGGACGGAATTGGTAGTTTACACGTCTGCCACAACGATACTAAATAGTTTGACGCCATTTCTAAAAGTCTTTTGTTGTATTCCGATATTCGCTCCTGTAGAAGAGGAAATAGATACATACAATCAATGAATATAAACAACTAAATAAGGAAAATAGCTTTCATGTGAGTATCAACCCAATGCTACTTGCAATTTTTTTTGTGTTGATGAGACCATATTAAAATCAATATCAGAAAAACATATTATTTTGATAGAAGAAATGAATTAATAATTCACCATTCGTATTCCACACAGGTTATTCTCATCAAATGATAATCCCTCATAACGGTATTGTTAACTCACATGGCCTCCTTTGTTCTTAATGTACTCTACAGCGGCAGACAAAGAGTTGTAACAGCTGTCGTCCCTTGTGCCTTGTAGACAAAATTGTAGTTCAAGATCATCTTTTGAAGAGGAACTCGTGAGCGATCTCAATGGGAAAGTGACCTTTTTATTCTTCCACACAAAGGCACACCCCCATGGAGCAAACATCCATTTATGGAAATTTCCTGAAACGAAAATCGTTGCTATGGCAATGTCATATATATCAAACTGTAGTATTTGAGTATACACTGAAATGGAGAAATGTTTTATATATAATCATTGCAGACACCAAAACTGATGTACGCAGAATTTCAAACTTGCAAAATATTTGATCTTACTGTCAGTTTATGCAAGAATCTGTGTTGTCATTTGCCTCTTCATTCTGAACAATTTCAAAATTAAAATGTCAATAGCATCATGTATCGATAATTATTAAAAGAAGAAAGAATTAAGCATTAATAGATATAATATATTAAATAACAGTTAGGTTTATTTGCAAGTGAACTTATGATGACGACTAGAAGCATTTTCCTAAAAATAAACCTCTGTTTTATGACAACTTTTAGTAGACCGAACACGTGACTTAATACCTGTAAGAAAGTCAGCTTCCATATCTTCAAGTTTCAGTGGAATTTGTCCAGGAGCATGGGCGCAGTCTATAACGGTTATAGTATTGTACTGTTGACATAACTGTACGATCTCTGTTACCGGAAGCTGTATTGCACATGCACAAGATATGTAATCTGAAAACACATGTAAAGTACCTATGTGATCTTACGTAGTCAGTGGGCCAGTGCAATTGCAAATAATGAGAGGAGTAGCCGTTGTTGATATCACAGAAAACAGAAGTTGATTATCAAAGAGTAGGGCACAAAGGCGTTGATCGTACCTATGACGACAGCCTGGATGTTTTGATCATTGTCCAGCGCCTCTCTGTACATGTTGAGCACTTGGGCTGTATCCTGGATAGGTAGAGTAATGTTAACTACCTTAGTCTGCACACCTGAGTTGTAAACATGATCAATATTCAATGGCACATTCAGTAATACTCTAAATAATAATGCAGTTTTCTATTATGAGTTATGAATATCTCATTGATAACAATGACGCTACAATTGTATCAGAGCCCATAACACATGTCCTCAAATTCCTCTGCATAAATGGACTTGCACGCCATTTTGTTCACAACAATAAAATTTCAATTATAATATATTTTTTCAAGAGAGAAGCACGACTAAAAAGAAACCTTTTATTGATTCTACATACAGTAAACCTCGGATAAGTCGAAGTCGATGGGATCAAGTAAAATATTCGACTTATCCGATGGTTTGACTCAACAGTGTTTTTGTCTATCGTTTGTAATCGAGACTTCGTATATTTAAACTGACCCTATTTATATAGCAAGGTGTTAATGAAAAGAACAAGACAACATCTATATTTTATAATAACAATTATCTTTTATTGAAATACAAATAAATCGTAGGTCAATGACAGTTACTGTAATCATCATTGTCACAAACACGTGGATTACACTGGGTACTTCGTGCAAACAATACTTAAAAATACATGTACACATATTGTGCTCACATTTATAGCATTTGTATCGTTGAGACAAATATTCTCCATCGAAGTCTAAAAGTAGATCCAGTAATCCCCCCAGATGACTTGGGTCCCTCATTAGATTGCTCATTTGAACTCATGATTGAGAGTGTGGAATGAATGACACATCCCGACTTTTCACTCAAATAAAATAACAACTTACGGGCAAAAAGTAAACATGAGATGTTTTATTTCAATGGTTGTTTGATCGCGTAGTTCTTGGTTAAACGAGATATTTACCTGTGCACCTGGGTACCCTGACATTACATTGTGCATATAGGTCACCGATCACCCTCGTTACCGACCAGGAAGTTTTACCTGAGACAACGTGGCGTCTGAATGTTCGACACAAACATGGAATTTTTGTACGATTTAGAAGGGACGGACTGCAAAATATATTCGACACAACCACAGTATTCGATTCAACAGTGTTCGATTCATCCGTGTTTGATATAGAGGAGAAAAAATCGGGACCTAACGAAACGTTCGACTCATCCGATGTATTCGACTCATGCGTGTTCGACACAAGTGAGTTTTACTGTATAAGATGTAATTGTGTCACTAGAGTCACATTCCATCTTTATTAAGTTATACAGTTATGCAGAAGCCGTACTAATTATGCGCTTTTTCAAAAAGGGAGGAAGACAAAATCTGTCGTAAAATGAAAATTTAATATTGTTATGAAACGAGTGGAAGAAATGAATGATGATTTTCAGTTACAGAATTATTGATTTAATTACTTGAATTGACGAACAATAGTGTAATTTCTTCAGTTGTTGACACGTTGCTTCAGACGAAGAAGGGGGAAATTGACATCTTTTTCTCATTCTTATTAGAAACTGAAAAGAATGTCGCCGTTATTAAAGAAGTTTAGTGTATTTACCTGTAAATTACAGAAATATTATAGTTCTTTATACGATATGAAAATGTATTTGTTTGATGCTTGTTAGTTTGCCTTTTGGTTTCGTTGTTGTACATCTTGTTCTCATTTGAGAACGTGGCATTAGTTATTGGGATTGACAAAGATTTACATGGCGGGTGTCGTCGATAAAGCAGAAGGCGCTTACTCTTCCGGAACACCCGGTCCTATACTCCTTGTACGTTGTTGGGAGTCTTCGTGTAAGTATTTCTTTTGTTAATGTACTGTCCAAGTTTAATGAACTGATGATATTCTATTTGAATGCTTGTATATTAAGAAATATTTCAAAGTATATACATATGATACGTATAATTTCATTTAGCATCGTGGAAATAAATAAGTGCTGCTTGAACTCTTTGACGAAAAGTTGTCCTATTAATATCACATACAGGTTTTGAATATTTAATAAGTTGTGCAAGACAATCGTGCATCGTTATAAAAACACTGACCTTTATGATGCAAAATCTGTGCGCAAGAGTTGTTGGTGGCCTGAAATGCCTGGTTGGTGACAAGGATGGCGTCTCCACACTTTAACGGAATTGACATCAAAATGGAATGAATACCTGTAATAAAAATATTAGTTGCTAGAACATGATAATGTTTTAATGTAACCTAAAATTAAAATACACTTTCTGCTTTGGCATTGTCACTGAAAACTGGCTTTAGATGGGAGCGAAACCAATACGTGCTTTAAACGTGAATGTCTTCCATATTCAATCCATTCAAAATTATTTAGCATATAGATAGCTTTATCTCTAACCCTAACCCTGCTGAAAGATCTGAAGATTTTTTTTTACTTTAATGTGTATCGCCCCAATGACTATCAAGAAACGAAAGGGGGCATAGAAGACCATTCAGTGTCACTTCAAAACTTCATGTACATATATGCCTTTCCTAATATCTATATTATCTATGATCTATATCATGGTAAATCGTCCCACGCAAAATGCATACTATGTATGAAGAGATTCAATCAAAACTCAACCACATTGCCCAAGCGCGCAAAACACCAACTGCTGTGGTGTCATTGGTCCTCACGTATTTGTTCACATCACCCACAGATCTTAACCCTAACGTTGAAATCCGATCTGATGAAACAGAAATGTTGACTTCCCAGATACCTTTAGGGTGTAACGAAATCATCGATGCTCTTTTGGAGATATCACATTTGCTATCAAAACTGGAGCCTTCTTTTACTCTGCGTTTCTCCTCTCTAGCTGATGCAGATTGTAAAGCATGAACTGGTTGGACAAAACAGGTTTCTAAAAATTCTTTCTTGTTGTTCATCCTCTATTGGCACTGATATTTACACTCGGACATATCATAGAAACAGTGTTCAACTCTTTTTAACATGTCAATTACAATATATCGAAAACATTACATTCCACAGAAATAGGAGTAGAAATAATCATTGTTACTTTCTTCTTTGGGTGTGAACATATTACAAAAAATATTTTGTAGCACAACACTCAGAAGCTTTTCTTGGCCTGCGGGCGACTGTCATACTTGACGGTATATATATCTTTATTCCTAAGAGTTTTGATCACAAGCTTCGGTGAATTTCGTACTGTGGTCAGAAGAAGCGGAACTATTTGATCTTCATTGGCATAGCCCTACCTTATGGTTACATTCTGGACACAATAGGACCTTTTCCTAGAAGCGATAATGATGTGACGATTACAAAGGCAAATTTCGGATAGTCTCTCCTGGTTGGAGAAAGACAACAACGTCTTTGTTGATCGAGGATTTAGGGATGTTTTGACAGATTTGGAATCACGTGGTTTGACAACAAATAAAACGTCTTATCTAAAACGTGGGCAGACGACATACAAACTTACGTTGAGAGATGGGTAATGGCGTCATATCACGGACGATTCAAAGAAGGGTTGTTTTTCAAAACACCACGTGCCTCCAACTATTTTATTGGTGTCATCGAGGCACTAGTTACAATAGTAATAGCATGTAGTAATGAAATGCGAGGTTATATACGCATAAAAACACAAGAGCGAGACGCAAAGGATAGCGTGTGAAAAGAAGAGGCAGATCTTACCAGAAGGGCCAAGTCACTATTTGTCAAACTATATGTTACTGAGGATAATTGTTAGATATAGACTACCTTCATACAATATCATGTGGCACATACCAAATATCATTGACAGCTGTCTACATAAATTGAACATCTCAGTGTTGATGACGACGAGATCTGGATCTATCGGCACTAACGAGACAGTGTGCGATGACAGATCCACTCGAGTTAGAAGAGCAGTGTGAAGTACAATGTTTTGATCCAGCATGACAGCTCCAACGCCATTAATCAATTTAAACAAAATTTTATTAACATTCCATATGTTAAACGGATTGGACAACAGGCTGAGCCTATATCAGTCCTTTCCAGAATTAATACATAAATACATTACATTTATCTGCAAGAAAAACCAGTGAGTAAAATAATGGACATATTAAATTAGGATATAATAGGTAAAGGGAGGTAACTCCAATTTATTGTGGAACGTGAAGTAGTTCATTATGTCAGATTATTTTTCATAGGATTATAAATAAGTTGAAATAATACAGGTTTACTAATGATTTACCATGCAAGAATCCAGGTAAACACCTCGACCATCCACCCAAGGATATGCATAATAACTTATCAACAATTCTGCATTTTCTATGTTGATAGGTAAGATCATGGTTAAGTTTGAGAGGTTCATAAAATGGTATTTCAGTTTTTTTCATCTATATTGGAGTTGGTCCTCTTAACATAGTATATAATAAGTTAACAAATTAGTTACTGCTACATAAGTATAAGTAGTAATCATGAATTTAAAGAATACATTCAAAAAATACTTTCAAAATGCTCATCAATTTCAGTCAGAAATGCTATTAAAATGCTTGATATTGGTGATTTACATACATCAGGTATTATTTCAGTGATCCGTAGATAAAGATTAAATGGAGAAATGTACATTAAATCTATTAGTAAGATGGAAATACTCAAATACTATATGAAGTAAGGCTAAATTGATGTCAGCATTACATACCTTACAACCATTCAAAAGAGTTTCAATGTTTAAGTGGTCATGATCTAGGTGTATGTCTATTTCAGCTATATTTTGAATTAACCGGTTTCTATAGTCAGTGTATAATGGGCATTCAAGTAGGTAGTGCTGAGCATTTTCAGTTTCATGACTACATATACATCGTGAAGTATCAAGCAAATGGTCATTAAATAAATCAGAGTTGAAGTTACTAGCATTGTTTCTAAGCTGGCATAATAACATTATATTTTCTAGGTCCTGTGTATTTAAAAAGTTTTGATGGCACCTGTTTGATTATTTACATTGGGGTTTATAACTTTCTTAAATTTCTGTTTTGAATTAATGTTTACTAAGTCAGGTTGGAGCATATTAAAATCACTTAGAGTTGATGGGAAATAACTATTTCTGTAACTTTCTAAATAAGAAGTTTATGTTGGCTTCGACTATTACTAAGAGTTTCAATTCCAGTTTCTGCATAGAGTTTATAATGAGATGTCCCCCTTCTTAACCCAGTAATTATCCTAAGTGCTTCTAATTGAACTGATTCTAATAAGTTTTTTTCCTGATTTGTAGAATTATCCCAGATGACATCCCCATACTCTAAAATTGGTCTAATAAAGGAAGCGCATATAGTTGTTAGGCTTTTCCTGTCTACTTTTTTTTAAGTAATCTCAAAATATTTACTCTCTTGTAGGCTTTATTGTATATATTAGTGATATGGTGAGACCATTTACCCTCACTACTAAAAGTTAAACCTAAATGTTTATGAATCTTGACAGAGCTGACTGAATCACCTGTAAACAATATATCAGGATTAATTTGTTCCCTTTTTCTTGAGAAAAGTAAAGATTCTGTTTTCTGATGATTAAACTTGATATCCCATCTGTTAGCCCATATATTTAGATTGCTTAAGTCATGGGTTAATTTCTGTGCAATTTCAAATTCAAAACATGCCACTTATACCATATGATTCTAATTTAAAAATTAGGCCTTCATGCCAAACTCTATCGAACGCTTTGCTAACATCACAAAATACAAATCTAATTTCATTATTTTTATCCAAATTACTTATAATAGTTTCATATATTTCCAGTAATTGATTTACAGTAGAGTCTTTTGGTCAAAAGCCTGATTGATGCTTAGTAATTACTTCACAATCTTTTAGGTAATTAAACATATATTTAAAAACTACTTTTTCAATAATTTTACTAAAACAAGATGTGATAGATATGGGCCTATAATTAGATACATCATTTTCAGAGCCTTTCCCTTTATAAATAGCATTAACATCAGCTGATTTCCAAGATGCTGGTATAGTACCTGTTTCAAAAGTTTTATTACATAGAAGAGTAAGAGGGCGTACTAATGAGGGGGTTAATCTTTTTATTATTTTAGGTATCATATTGTCAGGACCAGGTGGTTTTCTGTCATTAAGTAAGAGAAGTTGATCTTTAATGTCCTGCTCAGAAATGGTAATATTTTCTAGTTTAAAAGGGAAGTTACTATCAGGTTGAGGTAGAGGATCCAGATTTTCAGATGTTATTGAAATCGAAATGAAATAATTATTTAGACACACAGCCTTATCAAATGGATGATGGACGTACTGATCATTTACATATAGAGGTGGTAAAGATGTAGAAACATTATTAGAGTTCATTATTGACTTAGCAATTGTCCACCACTTGTTAGCAGGAATAGAATTGTCTTGGAGAGATTCATCTAATTTGATCAAATATGTTTACTTTTAGCTTCCCTAACAAGATCCACTACCTCATTCTAATTTGTCTAAAGTTAGCCCAGTCTGCATGTATTCTATTTCTCTGTCTAATTTTCAGTTTGATATTATTTCTCATCCAGGGTTTATCATTAGGTCGGACCGTTATAAGTTTACATGGTACACATAATATTGTTTGTTTGATAATGGTTTCTGTTAAAGTACTATTAAATTCCTCACAATTATGATTTTCTATCAGTAATTCCCAATCAACACTATTCATTTTATCAAAATCTGCTCTATCATAAACTAGTATTTTCTTCATATATGATTTCTTTTTGAATACAGAATTACAACAAGAGAAGTTAACAATACAATGGTAACTATGAAGGATTAAAGTTGCCAGTGTCCTACTGGACAGAGAACTTTGGGATATTTACCCACGTAGCCAGTATCCTGTACTATTTAGGATATTTCATACATTTGGAAACCAGTAAGCCTTTTCATCCAAAAGTCAATAAGTTTAAGACAAACCTCAATGTTGATTTCGCTATTAACCATCATTTTCAGGGCATTAGGTATGGTACTGTACGATGTAGACAAGCACTGACATGACCAATCAGATGCTAGGACGAAGAAGACTTATTGGATTACAGATTAAATGGTTTAATGTGTATAGCAACTTAAATCTATTATTTTACATTCTTGTACATTCATACATAAAGATAATCCTCGGAGAAATCGAGAATATATACCCCCCCCCCAAAAAAAAAAAAAAAAAAAAAAAACTTGACAGTTTATTACAGTATTGTGATTATAATTTTACCTGTTGTGACATTTGGAACAAGGACAATGTCTTCTGAGTCAGATTTTAGAAAATCTGCCACGGAGTCCCGACCTTTTTCCCACTCAGATAGCTTCTTCCTCATAAAGAAATTGGAAGGCTGTCTTCTCATCTCATCTTGGAACCTGTATGTAAAAAGCAGACATAAATATACATATACCAAGTGTCCACCAAGTTTAGTACACGCTTGGTGGAGAAGAAGAATAAGTAAACAGTTGTCAGTGAATGATCGAGAAGTTCAAAGTAAAATATAGGTTATATTTGGAAAAAACGCGTTTATCATATTGAATTATCTATTTTGCATCAGATGGGAATGCTTTTTTCCCAGACGTATGCATTCTACCTGCAGAAATTACAGGCAAATATGTACTTTTTGAATTACAGTTCTGTGAAAGGTCGAATCTAAATTATATGTAGAATGGGCAGTATTCTATTCATTGTATTTTACTCATCAGCAAGACAAACGGATCAATGTGAATTGATCCCGTAAATACCATATAACGTAATCTTTATGTCGATGAAAATGAAATGCACTAAAATTGTTGACGTGTACGTAGAATATGATACTATACATATAAGGCATGCTAGAGAAGATCTTTATTTACAACATGTCCTTTAACGATATCATGAATGAGTCTAATTTTACGTGAACATGCTAGAATAGGTTAATGGGACTTTGTAGACGTATTCGTTAGAAAAAAAATGCTATACGTTTTTACACAAAACTGGATGGTTAGTTTTATTTGTTTTGCTACCCAGAAAATCTTATGAATTGCAGCTTTAAATCTAAATGAAACATGTAACAATGTATTCATTATATGCTGCATATCCTTCCAATGACCAGCTTTACATGATATTAATATATATACATCAATGAAGTAATAGCAACACTACGGACAAGCGAATTGTCAAATTTTCGCGACAACCTACCAATTTATTAAAACACAAATATTACATAAATTACATCACATACATAGAACATAAAAAATTACAAATTTATAAATCTAAATCGAGAGCGACGGTGTCAATTTAGGTGTATCGATAATCCCTTCGGCCGGTGGACGACGAAGGCCCTTTATAACGGACAAAAAATCATCCTAATTGGTTGTATGCAATAAAATATCAGTAATGTTTTATTTGAATCTCGGTATGTTTTGCACTTTAGACACTGAACATATATGTGATCGCGACGAAAACAAGTGCACGTCACACTCCGAAGACAATAGTCTACCGGTATATCTCGGTCAAGTTCTAAATGAGGAATTGTTTGATTACAAAAAATAATGACATCGCAAAACACCAGTTGCACATGTCTTACAAATTGGATTTAAACATACGTTTATGGTTAACCAACGTGTGACGGACTGTTAATGATAGATATCTAACCATAAAGTTTGTATTGATGTACACGGTGGTTTGAACGTTCCCCAAATCAAAAGATTTTTTTTTAAAAAACCTTGAATGATATTAATCAAAAAGAAGAAAACACTCTGACATATGAATGGTATTTCCGTTTGAAAGTTACAGGACATTAATTAAACCCGTCAGCACCTAGGGCTTAAGTTCACAGTATTTATTTCAAACTCCTAGTGTGTAATGTCGCTACATCGAAACAGCCATTTGTTCATAGGATACAGAAGATTTAAATGATGACCAGGTCAATACTAATAATAACCAAAATAAGGTGGATAATTTCGAATACATTGGAATTTAGAATCCCTAGAAAATATTAATTTCACCTTATGAAATCACAAGTACAACAGCGTTCTTACTACTGATTACCACCTAGAAGGCAGTACTCCTAGGCTGTAAACATATATCAAGGTAATAAACACTACGCTGACTCTTATGGAATGTGTTTTCTCTTGGCGTTTAACATTTTTTTTACTTTTGTTTTCTTACATATGATACATATGAGATATATCTTACTCACCTTTGCTGAGCTCTAATTACTGACTTGGGAACAGCACCTTTATAACCGTGGTTTATAAATGTATAACCCTCCTCCAGGACAAAGTCTGTCTGTCGTAATTGAGGTCCAAAGTCTGGAAATTCTTTCTGTAATAACTCCAACTCCATGTCTATTTTCAAACATTCAAAGCTAAACTGTTACCCATAATCCACAACTGTTCATCCTTAGTATCAATCACGCAAAATGTAAACTCCTCAAGCGTGTTTACTTTTTAAAAAAAATTAATGGATAGGTAATTATATTATCATTTGTAAGGAGGCACGATTATGCATTGAGACGAGAAATTCTTTCCTTTCACATCGCATCTAAAGTTACCTGTAGTGTAGCACAAGCAAAATTACAGCATTAGTAAAATCTTGCAAGGTTTGGGCCTATATAAAAAGATGAGCGAGATTGGTTTGTCAAAATTCTAAGAATAAGAAGAAAAGACAAAATCTTATCATTTCGTTCCTTTGTACGTTTTGTAAACGAAACCCTCTGAAGGTCATGTGATATCAAACCAACACCCAGAATCTTGTTTACGGGTTTTTTAAAAAAAAATTAGATAAAACGATGAGTCAAATACCCTACAGCACAATATAACACAATCAAACTAACTGTAATAAAGCTCACGATTGATTACAACAGTAGACTATTGAATATCACATGCAAATGAGCAGATAATATATACACAATACAAGTGCACCTACCGGCAACAGCTGTCTCCAAAGTAATGCACAATCAATATCCCCTATCGTTTACTGCTTAAATATATCTATGTCAATTTTAATTTATATCACATAGAAATATCCCGTGGTCCTTTCGCTAGGCATCGGTAAATGACCAAAGGTTGCAAGGCATGTCTTTATGTATAGGTGATATGGTAATGTTCGAGTAAAATGTCCTTGCAAGTGTCGCCGCTCAAGCGTATACTGTTCACTCCAATTCCATATTCCTTGACAGAATAACACGGTTATGAAATATTTATGGAGCAGAACAAAGACTTGACACACAAAACAATTTAATGACGTCACACTACTATGCCCACTACATACAAGTTGATGGATGTACACATAAACACCTGGCTACACATAAATTCTAGGCTCAAACAAAAGCCTATATTTTCAATATCGAATAAAACACTGGGCGAAAACGAAGTTTTAATCAAGCTCAAAAAATTCTCTAAGCGAATATTGTTCCTTTTTGATACACTACTGTACTTAATAGTTATTCGTACTCAAACGCAAATTCATATCCTGCCATTTTCTCCAGATACACGGCGTCGAAGTATTCGTTCTGTGCCACAGTGAACATGTTCTTCCAATCACCAACTTTACCTTAAAGATAAGAAATCGATAAAATGAAAACTTTGTTTAAATAATCAACCATAGGATATATATCTACATTCAAATTAAATATGATCCCTTAATATAAAAAGAAAATATATAAGCTGCATACGAAAAAGAAAGAGACATCAGGAATAAGTTGCACAATAAATGGTGTGTTTTTTGTTTTCACATTTCATTGAAAAAATTTAGACTTTCCTAAATTTACTTCTGAATTTCTACTCCTTAGAGCCCTTTCCTAAGTGCTAGACACTTATATAAAAATGGTAGGTGAGTGCAAAGGGTACATGCACAATGCGAATGACAGTGAGATGATGAGATTGCGGTCTGTCTAAAAAGGAGAAGAGATGTCGAAGAGATCGTCATGCCTAAAGCTGGAGGCAGTCCACCGGTTGTTGAAGCATTTTGAAAGACGCCTGCTAGGTACTTCCTAATGTGTTGAAAGAAATTATGGCACTTTTTGTACACAGATAGATAAAATGTTGCAACGTTGTCAAAAGACATGATTTGCAGGCAGAGGCGAAATTTTAAAAAATGTGTTCGAGACAGACACTGACATTACTTCCTGCCTGGATAATTAGAAGATCAAACTTAATTCAGCTTTAATTATCAACCGACATTCACATAATTTCGTGTTTACATATTAACACCTAACCGATAAGTAGATAGCAAGCTGTAGTATAAAAGCGCATCAGCAACATGTCAGAAAATCTTCTTCTTTTCACGCTTTCTGTATACCGTTAAGGTTTTGTCTCACCTTTCCTGTAAATGGGTACCCTGCCGTTCTTATCCACCACTGACCATCTGTCTATTTCTCCTGTTATTTTCGAATGACCTTCCTTCAGATGTTCAAAAGTGACATTTTTTTCAACTTCTCGTAAAAATGTCGGATCTTTCTGCACCTCCAGGAAATCAGCTAACTTTACAATAGAGCCAAACGTGTCCTAAAGAACCAGAGCATCTAGTCTTAGATTTGATTTATAGGTATTGATATATATCTAATTGAAACCATTGCACATTTACTTATAAATGTAGTTAAGCGTTATTTCATATATAAATCAAAGTTGATATCATTTCAGAAAATGAAAATTGATATCGATTTTATTTTACCAGCGTTATTTCATTATTCATATAATATTTTCAAACATATAGGTGTCCATAAAGCTAAAGCTAAAGGTATTTGATGGCATAAACACTAAGCTGTTAAATTGTTCATACTGAAATAGCTCCATCTCTTACCCATATAATGAATGTTAGTCTCAAGACAGATAAATGCCCTAAACAGTGGAGAATGGCTAAAGTTTCCTCATTAATAAAAACGGAAGCACGGATGTTATTGAAACTATTGGCCAATATCGATCTTACCAGTTCTTTCCAAAATTTTTGATAAACATGTTCTCTGTTTGTCGTACAGGTATCTTACAGTTCATGGATTTATTGTTTTGTCTCTCTCTAGCTTCCGTCACAAACATTCATGTGAAACCGCACTGCTGAATATTGTAAACTGCTGAGCTAGGAACATCGATTGACTTTTTACAGGAGTCATATTCTTAGACTTATAAAAGTCTTCGATTTAGTTGACCATTCTGTTTTATTTGAGAAACTATCTCTCTTTACAAAATTTATAAGTTCCTTATTGTGGCTTCAGTCGTATATTGGCAAACGTGAAGGTACTCGTGGTGTCCCACAACGATCTATTTCAGGTCCTTTGATGTTTCTAGTATTCATAAATGATTTGTCATTAAATGTGAAAGCTGATACATATATGTATGCAGTCGACTCTACTTTTTCTGCTGCTGTCAAACCATTAGATTAGATCAAAATCAAAGTACAATCTGATTTAAACAATGTTCATACATGGTATGTTGAAAATAAAATGATCGTAAAATTAAAAAAACATTTGATAAAATAAAATTATGTGTATTACTTCCAAATAGATCAAAGGTAGAAACTGTTTACTTTGTATAACGAAGCTCACGAACAGGTTGTGAGAGATAGATTACTTGGTGTTGTTACTGATTCCTTGCCATGGTCAGATATCATATTTCATCTATTTTGGGCAAAACAAGATTAGGCCTGTTGTGTCTTATAAGTCCATATCTACCCACGGAAGGAAAAGTCAGATTTTTTTCAGGCTTACATTTACCCATATTTTATATATTATAATACTGTGTTGTCAGAGTGTTCTGGGAATTTAATGGATAAGCTCCTGAAGGCTCAGAGACAAGAAGCCAGAATGCTTCTTAATGTACCACTAGATACTCCTTCCTTTTACGGTGTAAAATAAATCAATTTCTTGAATTTCATACAATTTCCCAGCTACTATTTTTATAAATTGTTAATGTATGTATGTATGTATGTATGTATGTATGTATGTATGTATGTGTGTGTGTGTGTGTGTGTGTATTATATCAAATACTAATGTGTTATTATTTTTCCCCGATATCTGTTGTTTTTACTAACCTATTATGTTGTATGTTTTACTAATACGAGGACCTTTGTCTTAACATATAACACGGAAAATAAATATTATTATTATTACTAAGAGACGCAAACATGATTACAAATTTAAAATGGAAAGATGTCGCTTTTCGAAATTAAATCACCATATCGCGTTTGATTATTTTTTTCCTTTACCTGTCATAACTCACAGTTTTGTGTTAAGTGTTTCATTTATTTTTAAAAATAGTTAAAACTAAATTATTGAATTAGCATGTGACATAAAGCAAACGTTTAATCATGTACGTTTAAAGTCACTTAAATTGTGGAATATACACATGATATTCATGTTCATTTTAAAATCGTTCAATATTAAAAAATCTGAAATTAGTAAGTTCTCGTGCAAGTGCACTTCTACACTTTTTTTGTGATTTACTGTGATCATTATAGATCTTTCACAGTTGCCTCTTAAATAAACATCTATTCTAACAATTTTGGCTTTTAGGTTCGCTGAGACCTGGAAGGACGAAGCACCTATACATTGCAGTTAAACTCATTATATTGCTCTTCTTTTTCTAATTCTATATAATATTCACTTGACTTGAGTGTCTAATGTCTTTTAATATCTGTTTAATGACATACCTTCTTGAAATCCTCATATGCTATGGACAGGACACGCATTTTTGGATGCTGCTTAAAACCATCTGCCCATTCTTTCATATATGTGAACCAGGATGCACCCGATGTGAAATCTAAGGGAGACAATCACAGCACAAAATTATTGTCAGAGTAGGACAAAGTTATAAATAAATCGGTGACATTTCAAATGTATGAATGCTTGAAAGGAAACATGTTTTTAATGGAAATTTATTTAAAAGTGACCTCACCCAGAAGTGTCACAAAGTACACTTGAAAACTGAACCATGGTGGTGTTTGCTTACATTCTTCTATTGATAATTATTCTCTTCATTGCAAATATAATGAAGATTAATATTAATATCTTCGGGTTTCATCGTGTACGTTTAGTGTGTTAGATTGAGGCGACTGAATAAGTATAATCAACAAATAATATCATTTTTCGTGTGTTCAATTGAAGCGTAATTGTACAGCTGCACCAAGGACAAAAAAAAAAAAAAAACTTTTTCAGAGGTTTTATTCCGGCTGGAGTATTCTTTTATCTTTACAATCATAGAAGGTAACTTAAAACCCCATGTCTTGTCATATCGCCTTTCGTGCATTTTAGCTTGAAATAATCAATACTATTCTGACAATTCAAAAAGAAAGTGTTACTAATTGATGTCAGAGTAGTACAAAGTTATAAATAAATCGGTGACATTTCAAATATATGAATGCTTGAAAGGAAGCATGTTTTGAATGGATATTGATTATAAAGTGACATCACCCAGAAGTGTCACAAAGTACACTTCAAAACTGAACCTTGGTGTTGTTTGCTTACATTCTTCTGACAAAAAGAACTTCACGAAAAAATTGAAATCGCCTTCAAATCCAGTGTTTCTCATGTTGTCAAGGAAATGAAAATAAGACACCAACACATCCTTCGGATTCCTCGAGACAAAAATGACCTTTGGAACACCCTTCTTTGCATCTGTCGGGATCAATGGAAAGGTGAAATGCGTCAGAAATGTTCTAGGTGTCGCGATCTGTTCTATTAGTTTTAGATCTTCGAAGTCAGCCACAATAGGTGTCCCTGAGTAGGTCAATGTTCCTAACCTTAGCATCTGCACAGTGTTGTAGACCCAATGAGTACCTGTAAAATATATATAATCATATCTAATATTAGATATCAGAAATTAGTGTGTCACTATTTCTACTTTAGTATACATAGTGCAGTCAATTCCTTACCGTCTCTTAAACTGCACACGTCACTGTTCGTATGCTTCATACTGTTTATAAGTCTGATAAAGCTTGTTTGTAGCCATCGAATCGACACACTTTAACCTCCTACTGGTTGTGTTATGAGAATTTCTATTCTATTGATACTACCAGCTTGGAGAAAATGTTCTGACAGATCTAATATTTATATTCTGTGACCGTCAGTAGCTGTTTCAAAATATCAGTGTTTGAAAAGATTGGACATAGACTTAAGATATTATAACCTGATCATTATAATAAATTAAAAAAAAAGTGTACATGTTGTTATTATGTTATTATGGCTTTCTTCTTCCTAGCCTTGCTTAACCTTACAATTTGAGTCAAGTGTTCATTTCAAAACGATCGAAATTGTTTCATCCTTTTGATTATCTACCAATCTCTCGTTGTTTATTCTGCCTTGGTCTTTTGATCTAGAATATATATATATACGCTTTGCGTTTTGGTCGATCTAATTAATTATTGAATTTTATCAAATACATTTGATGACGTGAAAAACAAACAAAGATATACTTTGGTGATACATAGAAAAAGTGACATATATAGGTTTTAATTTCAAAATATCTGAATGGTTTACGATGAAATTGACAAAATATAAATTATATTTCGAATTCGTAAAAAACAGTATTGATATACAATATTTAAAGGATTTATAGATATACGATATTGGATGTGTCTTTAAAACAAAACACATTACAACTATTACTCTTTACCACATCAACCAACAATTGATATTTGAACACATATCTGTTGATATCGTCGTTAAGTTATGCAGTTAAAGCACGATGTCTCGAACCCTGCTAATGTAAATGGTACAAAAACAAGCACTTACCAGACCTGGGATATGTACATAATAGCACATCATTCTCCCTACATTGGATTTCTGCGAACCTTTGGAGTTGATCCCTGACATTTCCTGGCGTTATCATGTGGAAGGGCCGACCATTATAACGCTTAAAACTATACTTATTTGTTTTGTCTTCACTACATACTTCAACAAACTCCATCTCGATAGGATACATGTATAGATGGGAACTCTAGGTTTTTCGATGTTTTTTCGTTTTGACGTCCTAAGGTGACAGCAGTTAGTAAATGGCGTTGGAATATTATGCAGAACTTCAGATATGTAGAATAGTTATAAACGTATTAATGACATGAAAATATGCAAAGTATATACATCATTGTCGCCCAGTGAAAATCAACTCGAACTAAGTGTGTGCATGAATACACTTGGAGCAATTACAATAATTATGAGAATTGGAAACGTGTTATAGCATAACATCAAGGTAATAATATATCAATTCTATATGATACTGTTGTTCAGTGAAGATATCGTAAGTGATTGTAACTGGTGGAAGTTCAAGAGTGATAATATCGATTGAATTCTATTCAATTGATTTAGTACAATTGCAACTAATTGAGCAAATCAAAGGCCGAACATAAACATTAGTTCTGGAAAGTCAGGAAATATGACGAGTTAAATTTTCAATCCACTGGATCAAAGATTGTACAAAACACACATATGTGAATAGCACATTTTGATACAAATTTAGAATTGGATACATTAGAGTCAAACAAAACATTAAATTTATATAGTACATCTTTGTCTTTCTTTTACAATTACTATACCGTAACAACGTAAAGTCAACCGTCACATAGAATTGTATACTACCTTTACTGAAAACAAAAACCATATGAAAAAGGATAAAAGAAATCTAATTTGAAATAAACTTTCTGACAACACCCTAACTTCTTGATTGTAAAATCCGAAGTCGCTCCACGATGTACGTCGATCTAGGCTAGTGAACAATCATAACTAAAAATGACAAAAAGCTGATGAATTTTAGACATATACACTAGGAACCGATAAACAATTTTTTGACAAATATTCCTCACAGAGAAGTATGTAAACCATTTTTATGTGGATATTAGCGTGGTTTCATCCTAACACGAAGCATCAACTTCAAAGGGGACTCTACGTTATCAACAGTTGAAAGTAGCAAAATAGTTAGCTGAGAGCAAGTATGTTTGAATTTCTATTGAACATCAGTTTAAGCGTTGAATGATTATAGAACGGGATAATGTATCTGTTTGTATGAATCTACTGGAGAGTAGACACTTATTTTTGTTGATCTGACACAAGTTAATGATTTATACACGAGGAGACGTTTCAAAACATACTTAATATCTCCTGATTGCATCAACATAAAATAAATAAAATGGTGGCATTTCTTTTGAGCCCAATCGTTAAAATCGAATAATGCAGAACCCTTTTGGTTACTTTCTGGTGAAAAGTTTTAGTGGTGGCAGTGGGTGAACACTGTTGGTAAATGTAGAGAAGCTATTTTGTTTTCCCTGTAGTAGTGTTGTGTAGATGACCATTTCTAGGAAATCCTTCAGGATGTCTTCCACTCACTCCGGGACGCTGTAATAGGGGAATTTCTTTAGTTGTTTTGAGTATATGAGCATTTTAGTATCATCTGAGAGATCAGTGAAACAATTATCTTTGTTTTGCAATGTGTACAATTTATATATCAGCAAAAGTTAGCAATGGTCAACTGTCTAATTCCAAGAGTAAAGCGCCATATCATTATAGATGGGCGTGTAGTGATATCATTTTGTTTATAATGATGTATTGTAAGCAAAGATGATATATTTTATTTAGTTGGCATTTGAGAATTAAAATTAATTATATACTCTGTCAAATAAATGTGACAAATTTACATATCATTAAACTTCCAGTTCATGTGAACTGATTTTGTTAACCACTTGTCTTCAAGTGATCGTGCTGACTCATAGCAATAAAAGCATGACTTTTCAATATAACAGTAAAATGAAAGTAAAATCGTTCAACAAACTTCTTCATTATTTCATGTAGTCATTATTTGCCAGAATCACATCGACAGGGTTGCATTGATCACGGCGGACTAATAACTATTATAATTTTGAACTTCTGACAATTATCTTTTTGCCTTTCATGATTTTAACTTAGACACCTATGACAAAATTTAATGGCTTTATTTGGCAGTCATATTCTATGCATTATTGGTATAGGTCTTAAAATGTAGGCGACCGGTACATTGCTCTATTTTAATATCATCGGTTGGAAGAACCTCAAGCCTCCGGGTTATTTCAGAAATTGTCTCCCATATACGTTATACCGAAAATGTCTGATTGAGACCACACCAATGGTAATTGAGCTGAACCGTATTTCTTTTTTGCCTTAGAAAATGTTGTACTGAAGTAGCTAATTATTATATCGTCCTGAACCAGGGGGAACTTCCCCATCCCTTATTTGTCAGTATAAGTATCAATGATATGTCTAATATAGAATTAAATATCACGAAGCTTCTATCTTTCGTTTTCTTAATAACCGACCATGTTTTGGCGGTGGCTATTATCTTACGACCAGTGGAAAAAGTACATCCCAACTATGGATACTTTATTTGAGGTCAGTGTCCTTAAGTCTTGTTTCCGATCCAACTATACATAAAATGGTTTGTCAAAGACAATGATATCATCTATGTACTCCAGACATTACTTATAGGATAATTCACTTAAAGACACACTCCATTAATGGTGGAGTATTCAAAACTTTTGACATTAAACTTAGTGGTGGAGAACGTTAAATGGAAATTTGCAACAGTATGAACACGATATTATAACTTGTACCGTTTTAATAAAAGAAAGAACACGATTATTTAGATTTATTTCTAAGGTCCTTCTAAAAAAGAATAATAATAGTAACAATATGAAACAAAGGAAACACTTTATTGTTTTAGCATCATTTTAACATCATTTTCATAACGCCAATCAGTATCCAGAGTAGACATTCAAGTGCATATCTAGCCTGGATACTGATTGGCGTTATGACGTCGATATTCCAGGTTAAAGTAGAAAAATACTGTTGATGTGTCCGAAGGTGAATTAAAACACGCCGAAAATGAATATATTTTCCAGGTACAGAATCTTTGAACGAATATTTCTCCGTGTTGATTTCTTTTGATACTCAGAAATTACTCGTACTCAAAAGCAAATTCATATCCTGCCATCTTCTCCAGATACACGGCGTTGAAGTGTTCGTTCTGTGCTACAGTAAACATATTCTTCCAATCACCAACTTTACCTTAAAATAATATGAAATTAAAGATAATACTGTGTTTTATTAATAAATTTTTAATACTGTGTATTAATACCGTATAATGTGCATTATCGAAGGAGATACTGTAAAACAGACAGTAAATCTCGAAAAATAAATATATTTACTCAACAAGAGGCCCATGGGGCCCGTAGGGCCCGTATGGGTCACCCGGCTTTGACTGAAATTGCTTAATTCAAACAGAAGGAAAAGGAATTCTAAAGGTTGCCATTTATTTCCCCTGTAGAATCCACACCTCTACTCGTAAGCGTTTAGATGTTTAAACGACCACAAAGGTGTCCTTCACCTGAGAATTCTTCAAATTCACTTTTGACAGAATCCTATCTTTCCTATAGAGAAAAGGGATTTGGATTATTTGCTCTATTTCTCATGCTTGGCGCTCCCATCCCAAAACATATACAAAATTGATTATCCTTCATCCAAGAATTTTTAGATCAAAGTGGGAAAAACCTACAAATCGCTACAGAGGGATTTTTGATAATGTCCTTTTATTTCCTCTGTTCTGTCAAGGTCCTCCTGTCTTAGAGAGCCAATATCCGATGTTTTATAGAACTGATTCTACTTCACACAAGGATGCTAAAGATCAAATTGGGATATAATCCTGATATGCATACTGAGCTTTTTTCTTCTTCAAAGAATATGTCTTATTTCCTCTATTCGGCCCCGACTCTTCTGTCCCTGGCGACAGAAACCTATCATCTATACAAAATTAATTCCTTTTCATGCACGGACGGTTCAGACCTAAGTGGGATAGAATAAAATGTTTTCCTCACAAAAGAAGAAGTATTTCAGAAACTCTACTCATACAAATGTGGTTCTATTCAAACCAAGAATGCTTCGAAACAAATCTGGTCAAAGTCCGCTCAGTCGTTCGTGCCTAGTATTTTAAAGAAATTGTTGAACGACGACAGTCGGACGGCGGACGACAAGGTTCAGCATGATATCACTTTCATCCTTTTCACCAGGTGAGCTAAACATAGAAAGGGAAACAACAGCCAGTCTCATGACTGCTGAACAATCAATGAAAATAAAACACCTTTACAAATATTGTTTTTGCCTTTCCGAAAAAACAATAAGAAAATACCAACATATCAACATAATCACAATTCAAACTCTAATTCAATAAAACTAGGGCAACGTATGAATAAAACAAATATCTACAAGGAGATTTCTGAAATTTGCAAGAAGAATAATACCAGGAGTTCCGGAAGAGTAAACGTGACATGAAAACCTTGGTCAAGTTAAGTAAGTAATGTCATATTCTCAAACGAGAACAAGGTATACAACAAAGGAACCAACACGAAAACTCACAAGCAGGAAACACATCCAGCTTCATATCACACAAAGAAATAGGTTTAGATGTTCCTAACTTCTCCCATGACTTTCCACTTCTATAAATCGTTATGAACAGGCAAATCTTAGACACAAATATTATTATCTCTCTCCCTCCCTCTCTCTCTCTCTCTCTCTCTCTCTCTCTCTCTCTCTCTCTCTCTCTCTCTCTCTCTCGCTCTCTCTCGCTCTCTCCCCTATTTAGCTAATGGGCATCTGATTAAATACAATAATTATTTTGAAACTAAATCCAAAAAATCCAAAACTTTCATCAATACATCTTTTATTGAAGTTCCCGTATTCTATGTAACATAAAGTAGTATCTCACCTTTCCTGTAGATAGGTACCCTACCACTCTTGTCCACCATTGACCATCTGTCGCTTTCTCCTGTTATCTTGGCATGACATTCCTTCAGGTGTTCTAAAGTGATGTTCTTTTCTACTTCTCGTAAAAATGTAGCATCTTTTTTAACCTCAAGGAAATCAGCTAGCTTTTCAATAGTGCCGTACGTGTCCTGTAGAAACGTTGAATTTATATCAATATCACTTAAACATATTATTATATGCGACTTCAGAAAGGAAACGGAATTGGCGGTTTATTTGTACGTGAAATTACATCCAGCACCATTTAATAGATGCTTCCATTAAAGGTGGTCTTAGTTATATTTCCTTTTGAATCATAAAGGACTACCCAGTATGGCGCAAAGATAAAATTATCCACACACACACACACACACACACACACACACACACACACACACACACACACACACACACACTTATATATATAAATTAATTACTTAACATAACAAACAATATAACACAAACGTTTTCAGGCTTCGCGGCCATCTTCATGTGATTACATTACATATACAATGTACGTTACTTAGTAACCTAATTACCTGAAGATGGCCGAGAGGCCTGAAAACGTTAGTGATATATTTGTTTTGTCATGTTAATTGATTAATTTTCTCTGTATATACGATACACAAAGTTTTTATCTTTTTAAATTATATATATATATATATTTAAATCGGTGTCAAAAAGTTACATGCCTACAGAACCATAGTTTAAAACTCAAATTCACTAAATAAATAGACAAAATATGAAAACAGGAAATTGATATGGATACTCCTGAAAAAAGGACAAGGAGAATAAGACTGATTGTTCCGGTAGAGTAAGAGTCGTTTGCTTCATTAACGACACCAGTGATTTGATGGTCAATATAGGCAAGTAATGTCACGTACCTGAACGAAAACATGGTCAACAACAACGAAACCAGCAGGTATACTAACCAGCATCAAACATGTCCTACTTCATATCTCACCAAGATATATATATCATATTTTACATGTAAACGCTGTAAGTTGGTGATGCAGGAATGGTGCTAATCATACAGCTGGACAAAAAATACAATTTTGATTTACTGGTAAGAACAGATATGTTAAGCGAATGTAGAAGAGTCTGTGGTGTCCTTGATTTCCAACTCCGCTGGGTATGTTGGATGGACATTAATGTCTTGTTATTTAAGGACAAGACAACATCAATGTAACTAGAAAGTGAAGTCGAAGGAGATTTTAAGGTTTTTAAGAGCTGTCTTAATAAGCTCTTCGATAAATTCAGCCTCGTATGGAAACAAAAATTAAGTCAACAAAATCAGGAACACAATTTGTTCTCAAAATTGTGTCAACAGTTTGTTGTGATATCATACCGCCAAACTCAGACTTACAAATGTATTGTCAATCAAAAAATTTAAACAGTGTAAATATTTCTTCTATCGTATATTGTTACATCGGAACTGTGAAGAAAATGCACATAAGGCGTGGCCATCAGCATCACATGAATTCTAGAATGACTTTTTAATTACATTTATTTACAATAATACACTCCTGACTTGTTCATTATTCAAATAAACTTAATTTTGCCAATTAATAATTTTAATCTATTCTGTTCCTTATTTCTAGTAATCTATTTGGTTCCTTATTTTAAGTTAAAACAAAATCCATACAAATTAGTTATACTAATTAATAGGAAACTGTTCATAACAATTCCACACTGACACTTATACATTATCTACCAGTCTTCTTGGCACCGATAGTGTGACAGTGACAGTGTTTAACACCATGTAAAGGGAAACAACTCGTGCTTACCTTAGTTATAACTGTAACAAGTTAACTACTACCTCGCAAACCGATCGTAAAGGGAAACAACTCGCGCTTACCTTAGTTATAACTGTGACACGTTAACTACTATCTCGCAACCCGATCTTAAAGGGAAACAACTCGCGCTTACCTTAGTTATAACTGTAACAAGTTGACTGCTACCTCGCAAACCGATCGTAAAGGGAAACAACTCGTGCTTATCTTAGTTATAACTGTAACAAGTTGCCTACTACCTCGCAAACCCAGCGTAAAAAGTAAGATAATGTAACTGTTAATAAACTTGGATCATCCTAATACTTCAATAATCGATGTATGTCTACAACAGATATCTAATGTACGATTGTCACACTAAAGCATCACATGACACAATGTACCAATATAGCGAAACTAAACATTGCTTTTTAACTAATTTCCCTGTACATCGAACATCAACATTCTGCCAAACGTAACTAATGCATTTACCAACTCATATAACTATATCATATTAGATGACAATATCCATAAACTTGTTTGCCTGTAAAGAAAATGTGAAGAAAATGCACATAAGGTGACCATCAGCATAACGTTTATTTCCGGACTTAGAGTTGGGCAAACACGTTTCAGTCACGCTGCCGTTGTCTACCAGAGATACTTTTCATTGCATACATACTTCACAACAAAACCCCCCTGGAAATAATTCAGGGTCAATCAAAACCACTGACTTGGGAAAATGAAATATAAACTTCTAGTTAGTATACGTCAGTCGATTAAACTAGAGCTTGCAAGCTTTAATTGTACAATAAAAGTACAATACAAGTAATAAAATCTAATGTTCTTTAACTAGTGGATCTAAGAAATATAACAACTGACAGTTTCTAAATTTATCCTGGAAGTAATAAATCAATCTCCTGCTTTTAAGCGGTATTGAACCGTAACACTCCATATGGTTGAACGTAGACTGCTTAAACTTTTGGTACCAATGAAAGATTCCCGATTGCATCTTATGCCAACATCTGAGGAGGTCTTGTTTTGTATCGAGGCCTTGTACTTGATTCTTCATCTTCAATGGAAGTATCAACCCCCCTCCCCCCTCAACAGCAAGGTCCCTCTCTGACCAAGCATCCTCATTTCCTTGATGCTTTATCTTCCTTGTTTTCTCCAGTTTCCTCTAAAGATCCAAACTGATCACTTCGTGATCGAAACTCTACTGAACCGCACGAACTGCTTTTATTGATAGGCGTCCACTCTACCCCTGCTGAACGACCTGCTCCATAGCCACTCGGAAGGCTTCAACCAACGGATTCAAGATATCAGATCCAACTATGTTAGCCAGCTCGTGTTGACATCGTCTACCCACATCTCGGAGTGTTGATTACGAGATCTCCTGAATCCGAAGACGGAGATTCCTTCTTCCAAGTGTTCTATGATCTCCAGCTTGATCGATTTATCCTAACTGTAAGGTATTCTGTTCAGTTCTGATAAACTTCCTCTTCAGTGGTTCTATTGGCTTCACTTCAACGGGCAAGTAATCACCCTGAAAAGCAGGTTCTGGTAAAATCTTCTCTTCCCTGTTCCATATTCTACATCAACTTTATAGACTTGTCAGTCAGGTGACATCCTCCGACACACCCGGTGGACATTGTCCTTCAGTGAAATCTGAGCTTTCCCGGTCCTCCTTGATGGCAGATGTTCCGTACCAATAATCTTTATCTCGGCTTTAGGACAGCATTCTTAAAACCTTGTCATACCGCTTCTTTACTAGAACTGATGAATCCTTAGCCCTCTGCAGTGCAAGAGTGTAAGCTTCATGCATGGTTTATATCCACTTAATCACATCTTCCTTCTTCTCCTTATCCAGATGTGTAATGTGTATATTGAAAGTCGTAGAGATCCCTTGAATGATAAGAAGGAAAGCTTCCTCGTTAGTGGTGCAATTATATGTGTGTACAACCTTGTTTACATGACACTTCCTGTCTGCCTTTGCGTGTGTTCAGAGCATCCCCAATATTGTCCTCTCACATTGTCAAATTCCAGCGGGATAGTATGGTGTGGTTCTTGAATGGATTACCCCACAACTGCGTTGAAGCCGTTCGAATAACTGCTTTTTTGACTCCTCACCTTGATCTTGATTAATCTTCTTCGGGAAACCGAACCTATGCATAAATATGATATAACGCATAATGCATAAAAGACGACCAGCAGCTTTCCTTGTCTGTTTATTTCTTGTTGGATACGCTTGTGCAAATCGAGTAAAGTGGTCTATCAGTATTGGAATTTATCAATGTCCCTTTTAGATCGCTACAAGTGCCCAAAATCAGTGATAATCATTCCAAAAGGATAGGATGATTTAACGTGATGCATCTCAGCTCGATGAAGAAGGTTGGGTTGTCGATTCTTCACACATGAACACACATTTCTCACAATGAGCTGTATAAAATGCCATCCCAGGTCAGTAGAATCTGTCTTTGGCCAAGGAAACTACTTTATCTACTTCTTAGTGTCCCATATTCACGTGGAGTTCCTGATACGCCAGTTGCTTAAGATACTGCGGAAGATAAATATATGAAATCTTATTATTCTCAACTCCCTGTCGCACCCGCTACAAAATATTTCCATCAATCGTCAACTTTTTCCAATCTCTTTCCATACTTGCACCGAATCCTTCTTAAGGCATTTCTTTCTAAAGCCTGTCCTGCCTTAACATTATGTTCCACTCTCTTAACCGCGTCTTTATCCTGCAAATGGCCAATCGCCGTCCCAGTCAAAGTATTGATACTCTTCTTCCTCAGACTTGACTTGCCTACTTCTGGCCTACACTGACACAATCCTCAAAGGTAGACTTCTCTACTGAAATCCTTTCCATCATAGCTATCATTTCCTCCTTAAAACGCATCTCCGTACAATCCTTTGGTAGGTATTCAACTTCATTCACACAGGTGTGTAGTGGACCTTGGAATTATAATCCGCTAACTCAGCAGTCCATCTCGTTATAGGTCGACGGATTATTGTCCGTGAAAACATCAGAACTTGGCGCACAGTATAAAAACTACCTGAAGCGTTCAGTTATTGACCATTTAAGAGTAGACATTCCAATTTGCCACTGTGTAAATGTTAGTTCTTCTCTGCTTTTGGTAAGGTCTTCGACCCATATGCAATGGTACCGTAAGTTCCATCTTTTCTTTTCTGATAAAATATGGCACCAAGACCATACTGAGAGGCACCATTGCTCAACACAAAGGACCTGTTAAAGTCAGGAAACGCTATGATCTTTGGACTTGTCAAGACATCGCATAAATCTTCTAGTACTTGATGTTTGCTGGCTATTTAACTGGTTTCTTAGAGTATCCTTGCTTCTTGTCGATTTTGGGGTAACCCTTATTCCTAGGCTTCTTTTCAACCATCACATCTTCCTCGCACAAACAGCTTGCTCTATGACTGAAGTTTGGAATGTAACGTCTGTAATAGCAAAAGAGGTCCAACAGCTGTTGCACTTCCCTTACCGTCTTATGAATCTCCTCTTTCAACTTAACAACAGCTTTCAAGTTTTCTGCATCCATGCGGCAACCATTCTCCGATTCTACTGAATCCATCCTCTGGTAAAAAGATCTAGCACGTAATTCTTGACTTCTTTATACAATGGAGGGGGTTCTGTATGTCCTCTGTATTAGCACCTTATCTGTTAACTCAATATCCAGCTCCAGTGTTGATGCTGCCACCAATGTCATCCTTATCCCTAGTATAAGCACTTCACTCCTCCTGCAACTGCTTCACCTGGTGTACTTATTCAGGAAACAACACTCAATTAATGTGAACAAGAGAGTCCCAAACATCAGACAACCTGGGATTTCTCTCAACAGCGTTTTCAGTATTACTTTCTATCTCCAGGTCACTAATAACGTTTCCTTACGCAACACAGGACTCTGCACAACCCACTGAGTATCTGATACCCGTATTCTTACAGTTACCTGGCCCTGGTAGTATCTGATACCCGTATTCTTACAGTTACCTGGCCCTGGTTACCTCCTAGTAACGACCGACTTAATTACCGAATTACCTTATTCTTGCCCCTTCCCCTGAGTTATCAATGTCTGAGAGGTATAACTTACAGGTATATTTACCATACACGATGAGTCTTGACTAGACTTCACAAGTGTTTCGGATATATATGGCATCATCACATGACTCACCTATATTGGCAGGCACAAATAGAACCACCTGTTTGGTCCGAGGTCTGACTTGGACACCACCTGGTGGCACAACATGTCTACGCTCTTATTTTGCCTTAGATATTTCACCGGCTGCTTCTTCCTTGACAACCTTGATCAATTTACTAACCTTTTCGCTATCTTTACCTTGAAATATATTGGTCTCGTGATAATGTTATTACCTACAATTGGGTTATCCATGGCCATATTTGTAACCAAAAATTGGTACATTGATATTTGTGCTTTCTATACTCACCATGAAATTCACCCACCCAGTATATTGAAACACACCTCTAACTGCTCCGTTCAGACAAAGGTCACTTTCAAACAACTCACAGCCCTCTCTTATTGGTTTCTCAGGAAACTGAGTACGGAACCAATTAAGGTTCACTACGCTACGCTACGCTACGGCACCAGTGTCCCACATTACCTTTTACTCTCTTTCATCAAACCTTAGAACAACCATACGCTTCTCCCTAACCAGTTTAGCAATCTTTCCTGTCATTATGGTGACAGCTCATACACTGAACCGGTTTGTTTGCTTACCTCTGTAGCCAAAGTTTTACCTCCTAACAAAAAGATTCTACTAGAAATTAGATTTGTACATTGACCTCGCACCACCTGTTTACAACAGTCACACATATTGTCAGTTTCCTTTTTGGGTGTAGTCGTCCCCCTTCCGCATAAATCACTGACCATTTCCCGACCTCAGCAATGGACACTTTCTCTTCGGATGTCCATTTTGTCCACATTTCCAACACTAATGTCCCTGTCCATCACTAATCCTTGTCGAGTGACTGTGAATTCCAATTCTTATTGTGGCTACCCCTATTCTGCATAGTCACAACCTTCATCAGCTCAGCGACCTCTGTCTGCAGCGCTTTAACTTCAACTGCTAAAACTGACGGAGACTTTGCAGTCTGAGTTCTCCCTTTCCTGGAATATCTTGAAATGCAGGATTCACATGTACTATTAACCCAGAACCCCTAAGCGTTCGGACCTATCTAGTGAACAGACTATCGACCAAGCCTTTGGACACTTTATTTCTGATGTATCTATGCAAATTCATAGCACTCGCAAGAACATTACAAGTGACCTCTTTGAACCCCGAGTCAAGGACTCGAGCTCCGAGTAGTATTCTCACGATTCCCTTTAAGGTTGCAAGAGTCAGATGTTGACGAACTTCAAGATAATGATGGAGTCATAATGTAGTAGGTAGAGCCTTTATCACGCCATCCACAATGTCAGTATCTGGATATCCCTTATCACTAACTACATTCGCTTATCTGAGCCCAGGTTTGTAAATAATACCACTAACCTTAACCTCCTTCTATAGCTTGTGGATTTGACGAAAATATGATTCAGTATAATTCACCACCTACGTGACGCTACTCAAAATGATACCAATTTTCAATGGTTTACCTTCATATATCGTTTGCCGCGAATCAATTACCAAAGGTTTGTTTTATTTTGACAAAGAGTGATTAAGAACTTTCTCTCCGTGTGTCGGTAGGACTTTAAGAGCGCGTGTGCTTATTAAAAGAACAGTAAATATGTTATGTCGTCACTTCCGGTATCAAACTAGGTGTGTGTGATATCTTGCGAGAAAAGAGGATAAAACAGCCACCACAACAGCTTATTCTGTCTAAAGTTGCGATATAATTCTTTCTACATTACGTGCATTAGGATCTTTTGTATATTAGTCTGAAGTTTTGGGATCATTGTATATAAGATTGAAAGAAAAGAAGCTTGGATAAGAATTTATTATCATTTACAGACAATCAATGATTTTATAGCTTAGCAAAACCAGCTCTCACATCACGAAGAGCATATCCGGGTTTTCTGTCGGGCACCTTGCGTTATTTTAGTGGCGCCGTGCGCAGAGCAGCAGTGTAAACAAGATGACGGAGACGGCAACAGTCGTTTTACGTCGATACAAAATCGAACCATGTTATATGTTTAAAAATCCCCAGAAGGACTAGAAAAACACCCGTCTTACAACGATGTGATCTGTGATAGGAACATGTATGACATTTTTGCCCATTTCGAAAGGTCTTGCAAAGAAACTTAGATGCTTTGTAGAATAAATCAATGTTGAATGAACAACTAGATGTTGTTAATGTTTGCGTAATCAATGTGACGGAAACTTTTTTCCGTAAGAGATATCAATTTGGATACGGTATCGTTTTGGGTGGCGTCACGTTATTCAGTTTGGAATGAGTTGTAATCGAGTACAGAAAGGAAAGATTTTATCTTGGAGTCGTTTTTCAAGCTTGGTTAAAACGTTCTTTGAAAACCACATACTATTCATTTCATTTCCTGAGGAAACAGTATCACAGTAAGATTATAACCATGATTTTATAGTACTTAATTAGAATTAGAATGATAGTGAGAAGCTGTGATAAAGGAGTGGTTGGACATATTGAAGAGCTATCAATATGAGGATTTTTGTAAAGTTAAGGAATTTAGTATTATCAAGGCAGGTCCGTACCCTTATCTTTCATATGCATTTTGAATGATTGTAATGCTGAAGCGTGATTAGGTGGTAGTTTCTGTAGAAGGAAGGGATAATGTGTGGGTTATTCAGCTTGCTTAGTTCTCTTTGTATACAGGGTATGAAAAATGTATACAAACAAGGATTAAGCTATACAATGTCTTGTCTGCAGGCACGATGACATACCTATCATGTAAATCTTTAAGTGAAACCACCATGGTATATAACTATTTTAAATGGGCATTCTCTTAACAGAAAGTTCAGAGTTAATGCATGTAAAGAAATTTAATTATTTGGCAAATAGGAAGCAGCCAAGGCGTGTGAGCTTGAAGTAGGTTCCCTCTGAAGACAAACGGAACTTGGAACCAGATCGAATTCTGTTTAAGAAAAGTGTATACGTTGACAAGGCGACAAGTCCCATGCCAATGATATTATGTTAATTCGGTACATGAATTGAACCCACAACCATTCAGCCAGAAATTAAAACTACCATAGCGTTTGTAAATGAACTTATCCTAACGGAACTCGCATTCAAACTTTAGGTCCGTTAAACATTAAACCGAAAAAGGAACCTGGCTCCAGTTCCGTGTGAGGTAAAACGGAACTGGCGCTCGGATGCGCACTGGACATATCATTTTGTCATCATAAACGTTCTTCTTAAACGAAACTAGGATTTAGATGTCAGTTCTGATTTTCTTAAGAGAAACAGGTAGCCAACTTCTGCCTCTGGAAAGGCAATGGACTTTGCATACCATATTTAGCAAGCACGTGTGTAAGTATTTTGTTATTACATACCTTCTTGAAATCCTCATATATTAGTGACAGGACACGCATTTCTGGATGCTGTCTAAGCCCATCTGACCATTCCTTCATATATGTGAACCAGGATGCACCCGATACGTAAACTAGGGGAGACAAAACATTATCGATAACGACTATCGATATGATGTTATAAATTCAAATTATGCATAATCTCTGCATAACATGTAATACTAAACAAGATAATATCATTTACTTTAGATCGATTTAAAAGAAATTAAGGCGAATGTCTATTAAAGAAAATTAATTTTCATTTGTTTAGTATTAAGGAAAATGGTATAGCAGTACCAATGTCAATCGCAAAATTTTCTGAACGAAAGATGCTAATTATTTTCGCGTGCATGATGCTGTATTTTGCGGTACATTAACGTGATCGTGAAAATTAAGTCCATGTCTGCTTACATTCCTCCGACAAAAAGAATTTCATGAAAAAATTGAAATCTCCCTCAAATCCAGTGTTACACATATTGTCAATGTAATGGAAAGCAGACACTAGCACGTCTTTCGGATTCCTTGAGACAAAGATGACCTTTGGAATTCCTCTCTTAGCATCATTTGGAATCAATGGAAATGTGAAATGCGTCAGAAATGTTCTGGGTGTCTCCATTTGTTCTATTAATTTAAGATCCTCGGCGTCAGCTACCCGAGGTGTACCAGAGTATTTCAATGTTCCTGATCTTAGCATCTGTACAGTGTTATAGACCCAATGAGTACCTGCAATACAAAATACATATACTGTAAAAACATTAATTTTGTGAAGTTTTCGCTTTTGTTGATTTCGTTGGTACTCTAAATCCGCAAAATCATTTGCCCACCAACTGTGAGTATAAATATGTTCATTGGGCAATAATCATCCCCAAAATCGTTTCATAAAAAACAACACGAAAGTGGAATCAATCCAAAATAAGCAATCTCACAGAATTTAATGTTATTTGGTATTCGAATATCTGTTACAATCAATTTCAGTCATCTTAAATATTGGGCATTCTCAACGATCATGGCATGATGGAGCCAGCGCAAAAATATGCTGTAAAACTGATCTATTTTCGTGTTTTTTAAAAATGACTATTTCGTGGAAATACGATTTGATGGATATCTGTAACTCAATAACTCTTCTTTAAACTAATTTTCTACTAAAATATCGACTCGTAGGCCGAGAGTATGTCAAGAGTATCCACGAAATTAATGGAAATAAATCCTCCAGGAAAGAGTTTATAGTCAATATATACTGAAAGGTGTAAATGAATGAATAGGTATGAATAAAATAATATAAAAACCCGTTTTTTAATATATATATTCGTGGTTTACAATGAGCTGTATGCAGTTCTTTGGCTACAAAATCTCTTTAATGTATGGATAGTAATAATCAATAGGGGTCCAATTTCGCTATATGAAAAAAAATCGCTATATGCGCTGTCAATAAATGTATAGCACGAACTTTGATATCCAAAATTTCTATCAAAAATTGTGATTAATGTAGTATAGAAAATACCAATAAGATAACTCTCAAAGCTATAAGATATTTATTTAATAATTGTAGATATCATGAACAATACAAATTGAAATTCGTTACAAAATTTTGTGCTTTGCCTATTAATCAATACTATACTCAACAAAAAAAGAAAGGTTAACATGTTTCCTTGGCGAATACTTGTAAATGAGTGAAAACAAAATGACGTTTGTGCAATATTAGAAAATGGTAATGTTTTACATTACAAAATGCAAGGGGGTTACCAAAATCATTCAAGCGTGAAAGTCTGTATTAGCGAAAGAGCTACACGAGGTTTTCTGCGACTAACTTGTATCTTCGCTCGAATTTCATAAACATTCAAACTGACAACTGTTCCTTATATCCTTAGGACTTAGAAATCACCGAATCTTGCTATCTATCAACTTTATCATTATGCCCCGGCTGTCACAAGTACAGAGAGAAAGGGCTGTAGGCATGATCAAGGCTGGGGAGTCTCGCCGTCGAGTTGCACGGCATTTTGGTTGCAGTGTTAAGACAATTTGCCTTTTGGTAAGTCGTTTATGCCAAATTGGGTCAACATCCGATCGTCCCCGAAGCGGCCGACCCCGTAAAACGACCGCCATGGATGACCGTCGTATACGATTGATACACTTGCGCAATCGATTCGTAATCGCAGTAGAGACTACAAGGACATTGTTTGGGCGTCGTGTGTCTCCCCAAACAGTCCGCAACAGGTTGAGGGCCTACCAATTGAAAGCGCGGCGTCCCTACACAGGACCCAATTTGTTGCGAAGTCACCGTAATAATCGGCGTAACTGGACCCGTGTTCACCGTCGTTGGGCCTTAGGACAATGGAACAATGTTCTGTTTTCAGATGAGTCCAGGTTTTGTCTGCAACACGGTGACGGAAGGCGCAGACTGGGAGGGGAGCGTTTTGCGAACTGCTGCGTCGCAGAACGGGGCCGCTTTGGCGGCGGAAGTGTAATGGTTTGGGGTGGTATTTTTGGGGGACTCGTACCAGCAATTTAACCGGCATTCAATATCGGGACGAAATTTTAAGACCAGTGGTTCTGCCATTCTTAAGACGCCATGGCGTTGGCGCCATTTTGCAACAGGATAACGCACCAGCGCACACCAGTCGTGTCAGCAGAACATTCTTGCAGCAGAACATTCTTGCAGCAGAATAATGTACAGGTGTTAGATTGGCCATCTAAATCACCTGATTTGTCACCGATTGAGCATGTCTGGGACGTTCTTGGGCGACGCGTGAGAGAACGTCAAAATCAGCCGTCAAACTTGCAGGAGCTGGCCCAAGCCTTGATCGCTGAATGGAACAACATCTCTCCTCGAATTATCCGCCGGTTTACGAGTTCCATGCGACGACGCTGCAATGCTGTTTACTTCGCAAACGGTGGCCATACCCGTTACTTATGGTGTTACCTTTGAAATTGACCCCAACGTCCTTTACAGTCGAATAAAATCAACTGAACGCAAAATTTTATAATGAACCATGACTGCAGTTTTATCAGAATTGATCAATTCCTTTATTCGTACATGATTGGTAAGGATTTATGAAGGGGTTAATTAATCAATCACAGAATAAAGTAGTGTTACCTTTCCTTTTTTGTTTAGTATATATTATACCAATACACATAAAACCACTCATGATTCATTCAAAACAAGATGGTTCGTTACTCGAACCTCCATGTATTTATGGAATATGGCATGCAATGTAACTGGTACAAACTCTCACCCGACTTTGGAAATGTGCATAATAGCACGTCATCCGCCCTACATTGGAATTCCGAGAACCTTTGGAGTTGATCCCTGACATTCCCTGGTGTTGTCTTGTGGAAGGGTCGACCTTTATAACGCTTAAAGCTGTACTTGTTCGTTTGAAATTCATCAGATACTTCTACAAACTCCATCTCGTTAATTCGAGCCGTTTGGATGTCCTGGGACGATAACAGTTAATACCAAATTACTAAGTAATACGTGTAAATGATGGTTTGATATGCAACGTAAATGTATTAAACAATAATGACCTAAGCAAACATTGTTGGGCATAAGTCACGATAAAAAACCCGACAGTAAGATGCGGCTTATTTCCTTTACTGGTAAGCAAATGCAAGTTTATTTTGTTAGTAACTACAAGCTTTTATTCAGAATAGGTTTATCTCTTAGATCGACTTTGTTTCGAGTTTTAAATGTAAATAAATGTTATATGACAAACAGCAAGGACAACATTTCTTGTGAGTTCAGTTGTTGTTATCTAACGGTAAAAACTGCTTGTGGTTACCTTCCTTGAAAAATCAATTGAGGCTATCAATACAATATAATGACAGTAGAGAAAGAGTTGCTATCTAAAATGTCGGATGTTTACTTAATTATAAAGAGACAGTACTGCTTACCTTATAGTAGACTCAAATGTAAAGGGTACCTGTCCACAGTTTATTTGAACTTTGTTGTAAGTGTGACTCTGTCATATGATCTTTTTATAGTAAGCTCAAACTAACCTAACACGAATTTAAGTAACGAGGTTATGAACATGTCATGTGCTACATAACTACATTACCACACTATTTAACGATGACATATGTTTATTTCTTGTCTAGTGACCGTGAACTGTTTTGAAATGTCCTAGATATGTAAACTGCAATGTGATAACCTAGTTTTACACAGTTGATATTGTCTGTACATGATAACATAGTCATTACCACATGGACTGTTGATTGTCAAGACATAACAAACCATAACAAAATTTGTTTTACAACGATAAACGTTATCATGGCAATCAGGAAAAATATAATTCAGTCAGGTTGCATCAGGGGCGTGTCACTTTCACGTCAAGCCGATTGTTATATACTGACCACGTGGACTCTGTAGGACATTTATACAGTCCTGGATGTAGTAATACTAACGTTATGGCTTTATTCACTCCTCAAACTAGTCATATTCATAGCCATGAACACGAGGCATTATCATAAATCTCGCGGATGCACTGTCACGTTTGAAATTAAATGGATACTTTACAGAAAACACTAGGTGTCGATCCCGTTCTAACTATGTTATATTCGCTTACTCTCTCCGTGCTACGAAAGCTTCAAGTTGATTAAGTAAATATTGTTTCTGGTGACCCGTGAAATCTAGCTTGGAGACTTTATAAAATAATGGTGATGTTGTGGCACACATCAGGCTTTTAAAAACCTATCGTAAAGATGGCCGCGATCCTCCAAACACTCGCCAATTTCTGAATATCAATTCTGTAAAAAAGGGAGTGGATGTTAAACACATCAGCAATATTTTACACTAGAAGTCTGTTCAGGCTAATATTCCACCATACTTTCAAAGTAGAAACACCCTTATAATTTCCTACAGTAACTCATTGCATCCAATATTTTCAACCACTAGCAACCGCTGCCATAACTGAATGTAGATGACCTTAGAACCCATCCTCCGTCAGCCTGTTCTTGTTCTACCCCTAGTTGTAAATTTGTCCAATTGGGCACATAGTAACTGGTGATTTAAGCACTATTCAAAGTGTTAAACTACGAGAGTTTTTAGTGAAGGGTTCTAAAATATCGTAAAAACCCATTCTGTTAATTGGAATTATTACTTTACTGGATCCCCAAACTGCAGAAGAATCCCTAAAAGTAACGTTTTATAACGGGGTCGTCTAACTGTTCAACCGAGCCTTTTGCTTATGTCTCTTTCCTTAAATTATCTATTGTATGAAAATTACGAAATTTATCCTATAATGGGAATGCTGTACCTCCCCGTCTAGAGATTGACTTTTCTTTTGATCACTTTGGATTTCCCTTAGTCGCCTCCTAGACTTTAAAATATAGGCCCTAAGCATCACTGACGAGTCCTAGAAGGACGAAACAGATTCATTGTTTGGCTCTACTGTATCTCACTCTTAATTATAAAAAACTTGCTATTCACTTGTGTGTCTTTTGTACGATTTTTAATGTACTGACCATCATTCTAAGTACTAGCAAGTCAGGGTTGCAATCTTATTGTGATACTGTGTACTCAAGAGTGGAATTAAAGGTATATTGATTTTGAAGAACTCCAAAGAGCTTTTGACCAATCTTCAACACCCTTTTCTAAAAACAATAATGTCTGTAAAAAACTGATTTTTCCACCGTGTACACCACCAAACCCCATTCTAAACTGGAGGAAAGCCTTTGTTTCCTTGTTTAGAGAATTTTCTTCTCCAAGAAAGGTGAGCGGCGGTATGAATATATGGTTGTGAGCTATACTGAAGCGTAAAAATTACGTCCAAATCAAAGAAGAAATATACGGAGGACGAAATCATAAAAATGATTTAGTTTATTGTCAATAACATCTTTGTCGACTTTTGTGGTTAAATCTTTCAACAGACTATCGGCATACCTATTGGAACTAACTAAAACCCTCTGTTGGCTGACTTGTTTTTTGTTTTCATACGAGGCTGAATTTATCGAAGAGCTTACCAAAACAGGTCACAAAACAATCTTTCAAAGTCATGCAACTGCGTGTCAATGTAAGACATGTGGTAAATTTGTCAGAACCCAACTATTTTTCCAGTTAAGGTTTAATTCCTTCTGGTCTTAAATATCACCGTTACAGAATGGGAAAGCATCGTTCAGGTTAAAATGGGGAGATTACCTAAATGACGTATTTTGCATTCAGATCCTTAGTAATTGAAATATTCAGTATGTTCTTCATTAATGACGATTTCAATTGAATAGTTTTGTGTTTGTAAGTTCAAAGCCATGGGCTTCATCCGAAATTAGTTAACAAATGTATGGCGTTAAAGACATTTTCTCTATTTTATATAAATTGTTGATCTCGTGAAATGGTTATACAGTTTTACATCTTAAGGACACTAATACTTCAATATTTTTGTGTTGCATCCTATATGTGCCATTGCCTAAATGTTTCTTTACCTTTTCGTCATTTGCATCACATGTAAAATGTATTTAATGCTACCTATCTCTGTTAAGACGATTTCTATGATGTCACAGCAACAAAAACATTGTTATTGAGGCCCCAGCACATATTTTTTCTCTACTAAAAATGTGAAGATTTTACAATATTGGTTATGAAGATTCACATTCTATTCAAGAGTATGAGGGATTATGTATATGAATAAGAGGCCCAGAGGGCCTGTATCGCTCACCTGGATCTTTATGACTAACAGTACTATATCTGTGCATATGTTCCACAGTAAATGCTTCAAGCAATATGACAAATTACTCCATATGGGTTCTGTTCCATAGTAGTCTGCCCCCTCATCTGTGCAATGTTGAATTGAGACTTTCTTATGATGTTTCCAGTTAAATATAATTAACAGCTTTCTTTTAAGTCCAGGAAAGAAGATGGTTAAACAATATAGCAGAAAAACTCTTAGTCATAGCTGGACGGATAACCCTGGACATTAGAAGCTTACTTGCCCTTTAGATATTTTTTTACAAACACAAATACAACATGTTTGAGACTTGCACAAGTCAACAATATATAGCAACAATTAAATATAAAGATAATTTGACTTGTTCTCAGTCCGGGTATTGCCTCACGATCTACTGCACCACGTTGTCTAGCTTAGATAATGACACGCATACATTTTTGTTTAACGTAAGTAATACAACTAAAAACTAAGTAAACACGCTCAAATCTTCAAATGGAAGCGAAGCGTGAAATTTATTGTTTGAAGAATGAATAAACGTACCAGATTTGTGTATCATGTTTCGTCTATCTTCGTTTGGCAGAAGAACTATCCTTAACTCATTATTTTATTTGTTCGTGTAGCAGCAAACATGTGTAATCTCCAGGAAGATTTCCCAGATTTTGGATCCAAATTACGAGAAACAGATTTTGTTCTAGAAGAAGGATACACATTCTTAAATAATGGTTATATGGGCGCTGTTCCTAAGCCTGTTATTGCAGCTGAGCAAAGGTATGTGAATTATCTGTAATATAACACAGGTGTTTCATGATAATACAAATGCTTTGGCATCTTGGTATTGTTGCCATTCGGTACACTCGGTTATCATCTATTTAATAATCACTTACCACGCTAAGAGCCGAATAGATGCAGACACTAGTAAGATTTTGCCAGTCGCGGTTTGATTATTTGGTTGAAAAGTCATCTGAACGTGACCCAATACCGGTCATTTTCAGACCTTCATAAAGTAGTGTATGATGGCGATCTGTATTTTAGTCGAATTGAATTAGATGCTCTTTTAACCACTGACCCCTGTTAATTGGCATGCAGATACATTAAACACATTGATGGTTATAATCCAGTACAGGGATAATCTTTCCTACAAATATGTCAAATTTGAAAGTTATGGAAGTTTTGACTAATTTGGACCTCATCGTATATGGTACTTCAATTCGCTGTTGAGTGGCTTTTATTTGTAACAGTGGATCTGATACGGGTTTCAGATAAACAAGAAGAAATGACGTGACACTTGAATATTACCCAGGTACCTGACACACACTGACAATTACCTTCTAAATTACTGTATTGAAATGATTTACACGAAACAGATATTGATATATCACCGACTATACTATATCAAAAACAAGTCTTATTGAATGTTGACACGCAACTTATATGTTAGCGCTATAGAATTCTAGTAATCATGAATTTTACATGTGTTGGCGTAAACCCTGCATTGGTGTCATGATAAGACACGGGTGATTTTTTTTTTTATTTTGAATTTTTTTTTATACACGTAATAGGTTAATAAGATAATTTGACTTGTTCTCAGTCCGGGTATTGCCTCACGATCTACTGCACCACGTTGTCTAGCTTAGATAATGACACGCATACATTTTTGTTTAACGTAAGTAATACAACTAAAAACTAAGTAAACACGCTCAAATCTTCAAATGGAAGCGAAGCGTGAAATTTATTGTTTGAAGAATGAATAAA